AACAAATTAGAAAAAATGTCTGGGCAAACTTTGCTCTCCTGTTGTTCATCAATCATGAATCGGCAATGCATCTAAAATGTTTGTGTTATTTGCCAATTTATAAATGCATTGTGGCCCCTTTGCTCTGTCGCAAATTGATTGGTTTGAGCAAGCTGTATTTTGCTACTTTAGGAAGCCTTTTTGCGAGAGCGAATTCTTGGTTCAATGTAAAACGTGCTATATTGTAATACTAAATTGCTCAATATATATACATATATTATACATAGAATTGATTATGCTGAGTTTATGCAATTCTATTTACATTTTACAATGATTTACTAACATTAGCACACTTCACTTGGATAATGTAGAATAGTTTACTGTGCTTTGCAACAAATCTGCAGATCTAAACCATTATAGCTGAATCTGCAGAACCATGTTTGTCAATATAATCAGAAATACTAGATAGCTTACTGTGGTGATGTTTTTATATAAATGCAATATTGTCAATTGTTCTGTCATTCAAACTGCAATGGTAAAATATTAATGTGGTCAGTTTGCTGTGTTTATGCAACTCATAATGGCAAATTCCAAAATCTTTCCTTGCCAATGGTTCATACATTTCACATGATAATATGGCGATTGCATGCTTGCTTTTATGGAATTACACAATATAAATACTTAAATGTTTTCTCTGTATATAAGTTTATATATCAAATAAAATATGGATAGTTTTTCCAGGGCTTCATACGATACATACATAAAAAAGCGTCTGCGTTGTCGCCATAACACGTTAGTTATGCTTTACTCTTGGTGGCAACAGGCAAGGTGAACAAAAACAAACAAAACAATGTTTACTTTGTTGGCAAGCATGCAAACAAAACAAAACGTTTGCTGTGTTTTGGCAAAATCGAAATATATATATAAAAGAAAAACATTAAGCGTTTTCAGTTGTTGGCAAGCATGATAAATAAAAGAAAACATTGCTGTCTGAGCGAGAATGCAAAATTTATAGGTTATACAAACAAACAAATATTAAGTGTTTGCAGATGTGCGTGAACATGATAAAATAAAACAAAACGTTTGCTGTCGTTGGCAAGCATGAAAAATAAAACAGACGCTTGCTGTCGTTGGCAAACAGTGTCAAGAAAACGTTGTGCTGTTGTGGCAAAACATGCGGAAGAAAAGGGTTGCTGTTGAAAAATAAAAAAAAAAAAAAAAAAAAAATATTAAGCGTTTGCAAGTTGTTGGCATAGATGCAAATAAAAAACAAACGTTTGCTGTCGTTGGCAGGCATGAAAAATAAAAAGCGTTTGCTGCTGTTTGGCAAACATGAAAATAAAAAAAGCGTTTGCTGTTGTTTGCAAACATGCAGGGAAAAGGGTTGCTGTTGTTTGGCAAACATGCAGGAGAAAAGGGTTTGTTGTTGTTGCAAACACGCAAAAACAAGCGTTTGCTGTTGTTGGCAAACATACAACGAAAAGCGTTTGCTGTCGTGGGCAAACATATGAAAAAAAAAAAAAAAAAAAAAAACGTTTGCTGTTTGTTGGCAAACATACAACGAAAAGCGGTTGCTGTCGTGGCAAACATGAAAAAATAAAAAAAAAAGCGTTTGCTGTTGTTGGCAAATATACAACGAAAAGCGTTTGCTGTCGTGGGCAAACATACAAAAAAAAGCGTTTGCTGTTGTTGGCAAACATACAACGAAAAGCGTTTGCTGTCGTGGGCAAACATAAAAAAAAAAAAAAGCGTTTGCTGTTGTTGGCAAACATAAAGAAAAAAAAAACTTTTCTCTTGCTTTCTCTCCCCGCTTCTCTTCACCAATAACTTCCTCCCTTAGTAAGGTTAGGGCAAGAGTCTCCCCCAGTTACAGGTTTTCTAAGTCAGTGTTTGATAGGTGTAAACATTATCATGTTTCTTGTGGCGGGGTAAAAAACTGAGGCAATTTTTTCCCTGGAATCAAACACCGACCATAAAATTGCGTCATTGCTCAGGCAAGACAAGGGCTGATGCACCAAAAGCCCAAAATGTTTTTCCTGAGATTAGGGTGTTGTTTATCATAACTAAGGGGCCCCCGCGATGGAATTAAATGGGAATTAATCGTTTAATTCGAGTTAATACCCGCGGGGAAAGTGCGCAGATTCCCCTTTTCTAGAATCGGGTGGTCCCACACGTATATCCTTAGTAGGCTGTGGATATCATGTTACCTAAGCTATTTGCTAATCACCTTGTGGTATTTTCTAGGTGGTATTTTCCTGGCATATTTCTTTAAGTACAGTGATGCAGCTAGGGTCATGTCATATTTTGCAGCAAGACTGACGCGTTGTTTGCACGCGTTTTCCCCTCCCATCCCTGTCCCCTTGTACTCACTTCTCCTCCTGCTTATATCCCGTCATATACTTCCTTCTGCCTTCTCCTGTCTCACTTCTTCTCACACAGTCATTCGATTGTGTGACAGGTGTATCAGTCTGATTATCGGGGTAAAAAACTGAGGCAGTTTTTTCCCTGGAATCAAACACCGACCATAAAATTGCGTCATTGCTCAGGCAAGACAAGGGCTGATGCACCAAAAGCCCAAAATGTTTTTCCTGAGATTAGGGTGTTGTTTATCATAACTAAGGGGCCCCCGCGATGGAATTAATGGGTGACCACTACTGTTCCTAACAAATTGATTTAAAGACTAATGTTTCGCTGATAGAAAATAACACATTCTTGCAGCATTAGAATCCAAAGAAATCCCCCACGCCACTATGTTTTTGATTCAATGAAATTCTGTAGCAGAGCTTCAAGCTGTTAATTCTTTTAAAGAGATCTCTCCAACCAAATCGCATAAACATGCGTAGATCTTGCTGCCGATTTAACCACATAAGATGGATGGATTCTGTTCACACTGTTTTCACTTCGGGACCACTTCACGTGACGTGGTCAAAACTTCACGTGACGTGGTCAAAAAAGGGCGTAATGGGTCGCAGTGAGGGGGGGGGGGCAATGGATAAGGAATAACCGCTTTGGTCTCAGAGCAACTACTTTCTCTTCTTCACCATGTCTCTTTGTTACAAGGGATAGTATAATTCTCACTGCAAAGACGATTCCCACCTCTAATCCCGGACAATGGATCTCAATTTTAACTTCATACTTTAGCAAGGTTTTATTTGGGGTCGGCAAAAAATATGCAGCAATTCCTCGATCATATAGACAGAAGGCCAGCAAAAGTGGTTAGGTAGAGCTCGGATGTGTGTCAGGGTTGTAGCAACTGGGGGCTGTGAAGCCCGTGACACCGAAATAACTTCTTATGTTTTTTATGCTAACAGTGACCATGCAAAAATCTCAATTCTGTCTTAAACGGATTTGTGGTTCATGTCACATATCATCAAAGATCTAAGGGATATCCATACGAATGCCTGGGGGATTCCGTGAACGAAATAGGACATAAACTGGACATAGGAAAATTGCAATCAAAGTAGGTCATTGATGATAGTAGGTCGTGGCAACCAAAAACTTTTTAATTGGCTTACACGTGGCCTTGAAATTCTATTCTAACCTCGATTCTAACACATTTCGAGAGAAATTTCGAGAGAGTCGAAAAAATTGATGTGGACAACAGTACATGATAAAAGAAGTTGTTCTTAATCAGATTTCCAGATCACTCGTTAGACCTACCTTATGTTAGTGTTTTGTTTCTGTTCTTCTTGTGACAGCCTCGCTTCCAAGAAAAGGGCCGGTAAGACAAACCAACAAACAATGTCAATGGCTTGAGTCCTAATAGCTGACACAGTAAACGCTAGGTCCTGTTTTCATTATTTTTTCTCTGCTCGTGAGTCAAAATCAAAGTCGAATCCATTGATAAACTAAATCATTTGTTAACACATCTTTAAAAGAATCGTTTTCGAGCGGTTTGTTACGGTTAAAGGTGATCAGTACCGATCAGTACCAGTGGCGAAACGCAGTTTAGGTACCTTAGTTTGATGAATAATGGTCACCGAACAAAAGGAGATCCAAAATTATATCTATGTACTTCACTTAAGTTCAACTCATTTTCAAAAACTTTAAAGTTCTTCAGCTGTAGCGTTTTTAACTAAACTTCCCCTAGTTAACGAGACGCGTTATCTTGCTGTTGTGTTTGACATGCTCTGCACCCTTGGATGGGACTTTCTTGCAGTCCGTATATAGTGGCCCTGCCTCAGTTTTTCAATAGGGCCCAGTGGTCTCTTTAGCGCCACTGTTCAGTACCATGGCCTCTTAATTTGTTGTCATCTTGCGCTTGGTGTCATACGACGGCTTCCTATGAGCAGTGTTTTTAGCCTTCAAGTGCAGGCTCGCGTACTGGATCGATACCACTTTCTGCTTTGACAAACCATTCCCTTGACTGAACCTGTACTTAACTTTGCCTCATATTCATGCTGCCTGATTTTCCGTGTTGATTGTTTTTTACTTTGATAGTCCCTTCTTTCAAACCATGAAAAGATTTTATTTTCAGAAAGAAGATTTTGATCATCGGGGATATCTAGTGTCGTTTGCCATTTTACTTAGAGTCCGTAGCAACGCCCCCTTTTTACTGAATTCCTTGTTCATCGTACTGTTTTAAAGAAAGACCCTTACAAATCCTAGATTTAGATAAAGTAGAAATGCATTCACCAAAAAGATAGAGCAATATTTTTTTATCAAACTTGCCACCTTAGGCCCGTACTACCATCGTAATAACTTGTTAAATACTTCGCAATTAACATTTTCACAAAATACTCCTATTTCATCATTTATCAATTTCTTTAGCACCAGAATTTACCCTTCACTGATATTATTTGGGGACTACCGCCCCATAACTCCCTAGTGCTCGCAACTACTATGGATCAAAAGCTCTACCTACCACGGTCAGGAAACCGAATGCGTGGCTTCTCAAGACTCCTACTCAAGTACATTTCTTTTGTCTTTCAAAGTAATGGTCTTCCGCCGTTTGCCCTTGTTTGAAACAATCTAACTCCCTTTACAGAACACAATGGTATGGCAGAAACACATGATTCAAGGCATTTATGTTGTGAAATATTGTTTATCGAGCATAAATACATACAAGCTACCTTTACATGATTATCGTGTTAAATAAAATTTCTAATGTTCAAACCTCTTCGGGGTCTATAAATGAATGCCAGTTTGTAATGGAGACATAGGGCGAGTCGTTCACTTGCCTCCAATGCTGTACTGCCGACTGCTGCTTCGCATCCATGCTAAATATCACGTGACCAATGATCTCGTCCTTGCCCATGAAGCTATGACTGATCAGCGTTATCACAAGTGAAAGCGTGTTCAGGGGGTCGCTGCTACTCGTAGATACGTCGAAAACATGCTTTTCGTCCCAGACAGGGTGTTTTGAATTGCGCCTAATTTTCGTTTCTCGCCTGTCCAGACCGTCTTCACGCCAAAGGTTGATTCTGCAGTAGGTGTCTGTGGGCAGGATGAATTTTTGTTAAAAAGATCAAATATCTTAAGGCCACGTAATAAACGCAAAAAGTTAACAGCACCCGCATTAATAAAAAAAAAGGAAATGTCACGTGATCAAAACCATCTTTGGTCCTGTGAAGATAACATTCAGCAAAGACCGTTTTAGAAAAAGAAAGCGAAAATGGCTTAGAATTTAAATGCCCGCAAAGTCTTTAAGTGCTTCAGTTCTTTCTAATGAGGAGTGTATTGATGTGTCATTGCGAAGCCGCCCAAATGCGCCTGTTGCGTGCTTTGACTAACAATGGCAGTATCCAATCTTCCTATTGGCTGTCATACCTACTAGATTGGGTCACATGTTACCCAGCCAGGCTCATTTGGTCGGAGAAAAATAAGCGCATATAATTGTCATACGTACCAGGGTAGCCCACAGCACTGAGTTTTGGCACTTGCTTTGCCTTGTGCACCATGACTTCTAGCTGAGAGCTTGCCGCATTATGGCAAAGTGACAGCATTATCTGTGCACCAAGCTGTTTGAAGAAAACCGAATGTGATATCCATTATTTACTAGGCAAAATAAAATATTCATTATTTAAAAAGAACTAAACTTATTCATTATAAAAAAAGTTAAGGTTACTGCTGCTCCCGTATTCGATATCGAACGTTCAGGAATGCGCTGTTGGGGGGTTTCATCGTCCTGGGCCACGGCATTGTGTGGTAGGGTGGCCAGTTCCTTTTCACGTAGCTCCCTTGTACGTTTCAACTAGGTATTCATTTTCACCTGAGTGAACTGGAGGTCGTCCGTTAACCGGGATCAGACCCTGGGCTCTGGCATGGTAGTCGAGCGCCTTAACCACTCGGTTACCGCGGCACCTTCATTATAAAATGCTTCATACACTTTGATCAAACTGAAAATCTTCTCGGTTTCATTCAACCTTTTTTTGATTATCGTCTCCTTCACGATTGAGTCCAACATTTGTAAGAATACACTTTTCTTTCCCTCCTCCTCTTAGACAAAGCTGTTGTAGGAGTTTGGCTCAATGGGATAAGCTGGCCTTCTACGATCATTGGTTGGTTACAAAAGACAATCAAATTACGTATTTATTCATATAATCAAATAGCACGATATCAAATAAAACATTAACAATGCTTCTGATCAAAGACATGGCAATTTTGATTTGGTGAAAATGAAGGAAAACGGCGCGATGCGAATTCACCGAAGTTTGTTACCTACGCGTTGCGATGTACGTAGTAGGACGCTTCTAATTTGCTAATCTTTGTTTCGCACTTAATGCAATCATCAAACAGCTGATTGTTACCCATATTATTTCATGGCACACCTTCTTTATATCCCAATTTTAAATGTTAGTTACGATTAGGTACTATAATCCTGGCCAAAAGGTTAGTGGACTGGAGAACAAAGCCATTAAAATTGCAACTTTACCCCAATAATATTATCAAAACTCCCCACCCCTGCAGCAATGTTGGTTTTCTGGAAAATACCAAAGTACCTCTTACCTGAAATCTTTTCGGTTTTCTGTAAAATAGCTTTCGAAATGAGTAGAAACAAGCATACCAACATTGACTGTGGGGGATGGAGAGCGTATTTTTTCAAAAAGACTACAATTTGCCAACCAGTCCAATAACTTTTGGCCAGGATTGTAGGTTCATCTTAAACGCGATTCAAGTAAACATTTCGTTCAAAAAACCGCTTACCTCATCCTTGACTAAGAATAAATCCAAACTGAAAGATTCTTTCTCAGTTAGTTTTAATGAGCCAAGAGAGATCTCTGCTTCACCGAGTAACTCATTTCTCGCAATAGCTTCTCTACTGTAAACCTTTAGTTTCAATCGATGTGAAGCGAAATCACTTTCCGATATTTCATAAAACATTCTCTTTTCATTGAAATACGGCTCCTTTGTCCTTCTCTTCACTCGCGTATGCTGTTTTTGCTTCTTTCCTGGAACGAGGTACATTCTCACAAAAGGATTTACATCGTCATTATCTTTCCTCTTTCCTAAATCGAATGCTCTTATGACGATAATTTCTAGTTTCTGTTCGCTGCTGTGGTATTGCGTTGTAAAACAAAGTTTGCCAGTTTTGAGATATTTTCGCTTTTCCTGTCCCCTCCTCCCAGCTATGCGTCTTTTCAGATTTGAAGCCTCGGTTACATCAGCAGGATCCGCCTCGTCCTCACTCCCTTCGGAAACCTTCTCACGAGGCTGTTGCAGGGTTGTTTCCAAGCTGGCTGCTTCGAGGGCGGCAGCTAGAGCATTTCCTCGCTCCCCTTCAAGTATGCTTGGTTGTGACAATGAAACTGCAAGGAAAAGAGCGAATCTCGAAGTGAATATGTCCAAATAAATTCAATGGTCTTCTATTTGTTCGATCATACAATAGGCTATTGTTACATCGTCCAATCAGCAACACGGGAATCATTCCCAACGATTTCTCAATGTCAAATGCACCGCAACAGGCACCGTGGCAGACACCGTAGCAGGCACTGCGCAGCTATTGGGCTAGTAGGGGCTATAGTCCCCCTTTTTGCAATGATGGGCTAGAGATTCGTTTAGAATGTTTACTGGAAACCTTTTTTGTTCATTTTCTAAGTGTTTTATATTGTTTAATGATATGATTTAATTTCTAATTTGATTAGCTTGCTGTTTTCTTATCTTAAAGTTAATTTTATCTATTTTTATAGTTATTGATATCTTCTCTGAATCAGAGTGTTTGTAAAAATTGAATAGAAACAAGCAAGAATTTTCTAGGAGGGGCGTTCTAGAGGGCGTGGCCTCCACTTTTAAACTGGTGCGTGGTCCCTGCACCGCACAGCCTGTTGTTAAAGTCATGTCTAACTAGCAAGACACTTCGGTTTTCATTTGTTTATAAACAATGTAAAAAGCTGCGTTAATACACTAAACAATGTTGAAATAAAAAACAGATGCAACAATATTGCAAAAAGTACAGGACTGAAGAACTACAATACTACAATATTACGGTTTAATCGCCCAACTACAAGGACAAAGACTAAGAAAGGACGAGATCAAAGAATTTTATTTGCTTAATTCCACTGCAACCAACAACAAAAAATCAATAGAAAAAATCCATATAAACTAAACTTGAAGCAAACAAAAATAATGGCAAAGAAATTTTAAGCAGAATTAGGCATGGTCTGCGGGCAATTAAAAGAGACTGGCACGATAGCCTCGTTTTCAAGTTTCTGAGAATTGAATCCATGGCACCTTACTGAAATTGAAAGTGAGCCTTCTATGCGGTCGGCAACAAAGAACAGCCCATGACTGCCAATGCTCGTGTTGGCAAAATATTGCGGCTGGCGTACCTCAAGGACCAACATTAGGCCCCATCCTTTTTCTTATTAAGATGGATGAAAGAAGATCGATGCTTTAAAGATGCATGAAATGGTCTGCATGAACCATTTGCAATTGATGATTTCTGTTCTCTACTGAAACTTGTTCTAGATAGAACCAAGGAGCTAAAAGACGCGACAAATTACCAAGTGAAACATGTCTCAGCAGACACTTATAAGGCGGACATCTTTGTCACTTCCCTGCATCTCTGTCGCATCTATACAAATCCTTTGGGAAATGTAATGTAAATTCTGCATAAATCGAATTTTTCTACAAAGAGGACCGCTGACACCTTTTCCCGCAGCTCTAAACATAAATAACTCCCATAAGGCCAAAACAGACTACGGCAAATCCTTTACAAAAAGCTTTACCCAACCAAACAATCTACAACACTATCTTTTGATCTTTGCCGGTTTCAGTCGAGGTGCTCTAATGATCTGAGACCGTTTTATCTTGCCTTTATTAATTTGATAGGTACGCCTTTATTATCAAGGTAAATGTTTAACGAAAAGTGGGATTTGTTTAACAAGCCACGTATTTGAAACATTAACGCTTTACAAGAAATATCCTTATTTCAAATAAGCGATGTTACAAATAAACTTTCAATTTTCCCCGCAATTTGAAGACTCCCCTCAACAAGCAACTTACCTTTCTTTCCTTCAGCTCTCAGGCTCTGCACAACAGCAACACTTATTCTCCGCTGCCTCTCTTTCGCAGATGTATTTCGCCCTCCTTTTTGATCGATATCTGACGTTGAGTATCTCGTGGACACGTCCATTTCCGTACTTGAAAACGAGGCGACAGAGCTTGCTCGATCGAAATCCGACAAAGCTGCCACTGAGAGGCGAGAAGTCTTATCCTGATTCCATGACCTGAGGTCATTGTCAATGCCAGCCGCCACACGACGCTGCTTGCTGATTGGACGACTCACGAAAGTGTCATCGCGTTCGCCATGCTGTTTTAAAGAGAATATATTATGCATAATCAGAGATTGAGAAGGCTACTGCTAAACAAGATCGCATACAACTGATTTTATCGAAGACACCAAGAGTGTTTTAATCAAGTCACGGAATAAGGCATTGAATCGAAGGTGCGTTTTCCAATTGGGCATGACAAGTTATATTTTAAAAAGCAAAGATAGATTTGGACGTAGGTTATAGATTTAGTTCTGAGAATGGTATGCACAGGGTTAAGAAAGAAAGAGGGTTAGAAAAAGTTTTACTCCCATTCGAAAATTATCTCAAAAGTGAATTATTTTTAATGCGGAAATGGGAAAATAAAATTGCGGTCAAAAGATCGAATCGGAAAGTTAGATGCCACCGTGAACACGGTCAGAGGAAACATTTCACATTCCAGGCTACAGGAAGAGGGTACATAAAGCTTGGAATGGGAGACGCCCTCTCTATTAGCAAAACGTGGGTGCAGAGGTTGGGAGCACAGGGGTTGCAGGGATAAATATATTTTTTTAAAAGGAGCGCACGGATACAATGTGCATGCTTTTTTGATTTTCAGAGGCTTTGGGCATACCCTTCGTAACCCTCATTCCCTTGTTCTGATGCCCGTTGCTATGAATATTCAGAATGCATTTCACAATACCTTGTTTATAAATAGCAGGTAATTTTAACAAACAAATCTTGGCTGGCTCCTTCTTACCTCTTCACCATCCACAGTCAAAACCGGCCTAAGGCCACCAATGGCCATCTTTCTACATCCATTTCTCTTAGCTGACGAATGGGTGCTATCTTCACTCTCCGAGCGTTCCGCTGGTAACTGTTCTCCCACTGTCCGAAGAGAGAACGGTATCGTAAAATCCGGAATGGCGATGCTCGGTTTTGTGTATTTCGTCTTGTTAGCGTCCGACTTTTGGCTCTGCCTTTGTTGTTGCGATCTTCGGTAAATCAGCCAGAAGGCCAATAAAACCAGAATGAGGAACAGAAAGACGGCGATCGGCAGCAGCACATACTTGAGCACGAACGCTAAAAAAGGAAAACAACCGACGGATTATATAACAAAATTGGATATACCTGAAATATCGTTTCTTGAAAGAAACAGGAAAGTCAAACCAGAATTCATAATACGCAGCTACAGAGAAAATTGTGGTTTATATTATCTATTTACTAATAGTAGTTGTGATTCTAAGCTAACGATTTTGTCACTACAGCTGTATCTTGGAAAACAAGCAGTCACTAGTTGCAACATAATTTTTTCTCGATTTATAGTCTCGATTTATAGTGTATGTCACTCCTTATGCGCTAGCTACTCCCCAGCTACGCCCTTTATACGAAGATTGCCTGAAAAATTAGAGGAAGGTTTTTGCAGGAAAAATTTTGACCGGAGAAAGGTTAAGGACTTTTCTGGACTCAAGGAAAAGGAGCTGAATTGAAGACCTTAAGAAATGATATATGATTTTAGAAAACTTAAATGTTTGAAGGGGGCGAGATAACCAACAATGTTTGAATCACGTCAGCAGACAGCAACAAACAAAGGGAATGTTTGCCGTAAGATGGATTCCTTTCGAAATAAATCATCATCATCAGGTACCATCTTCAATCAGTATCCCAAAATCTGAGTTTTGGTTTGTTGTCATGGTCATAGATAAAACTCGAAATAAATAGGGAACTGGTACCTAAGATCACCATTCAATTATTCAAACAATACTGAGAAGATACGGGTAAGACAGTTGATACAACGACTGAAGAAGTTCTAGTTAACGTTTACGCGAAAGAAGGTTGATAAGACAGAATAAAAGGCTTGCAATTACTGGCAAGATGAAAAGGAAAAAGTAAGAGAAGGACATACAATTGACATAAACTGGGGGCTGATGTCCTGCGAGAAAAAAATAAAAAGGGGAGGAAGAATATAAAGAATAATAAAATGAAATAAGACAGGAAGCTGTAAAGGAATAAGAAGAAAGTTAATAAGAGGAAAGGCAGCCTGGTAAACAATATTTGTCCTTAAATGGCCCATTTACTCTAAGGTCGCTAATAATCGTTCCTCATTAATCAGTGTGCAACTTTGAACCTCGTGTTTTTCCAACCACACGCGCACTTTGAGGTTTAAAATATTATGGAGTTCGACTCAACCTATTATAATTATAGCGAAATGTTCTTATTTTCAAGATTTTTGAAGTGGAAAGTTCGAGGAGACAAATATATGAGTGACGTGTACTTTTCAGAATGAATGCAAAAGCCTCAAGACATTAAAGCACTTGAAACAAAAGGGTTGGCTCACCTTGTGCAACAGGAAAAGTACCATTTAAAAAACAATACGCTTAAAAATGCAGTGTGATAAACCTTGTTTGTAGCGATTTAGAATTTCACCCTGTGTAAGTTTTTTTAATTTAGCAAGTTCGTTGCAGATGACTGGGTTTACTTAATGTGCGGATGCAAGGCAGAAGAAACATTTTGGAAAAGAAAATGGTTGTTTGTGAGAGTAAACACTTAATTGCTACACTTTTATCACATTAGAGGAGGTATGCCAGATCCAGTGGCGGCGCCAGCCAATACGCTCTGGGGGGAAAAACAAAAGATTTTAGACCACGCCCCTTTAAGCACCAGAAAACACCCTTTTACTAACAAGGAACGCAATTTTTACCTGAAGGGAACGTCCATGACTCACTTTTGGCTATGTAAAGGCAGTTTGAAAATCATAGGATTACATCACAAAAAATACGTTGCCAAAATATTACCCCTCCCCCAACATTTTCTAATCGGATTTAGACGAAATGCAAAATTGATCCTGCCGAGAACTTGGGGGGGGGGGACGTGTCCAGCTACTGCCAGGTACGAATATTATCTTCTAGAGGTTCATTCTGAATGCAGACAGAAGAAGGCCATAAAATAGAAACTACTATTTATTTTCAGGCATGCCCTTCATGTTATATTCGTTCATAACCATGTAATGTAAGTTGATATCACGTGTAATCTTATAGCTTAAATCAGACAAACTTTCATTTGGCCACAAATACGGAATACAATAAAACCTTAGCAATGTTAGTTCATGGTAAGATTTGCAGGCCTGGAATGTGTAGATGTGACGTAAGCAACTATAAAAACATGCGAGCCAATTTTTTATGACACACCATCCAGACACAAGGCTTACTAGGTGAAATCCTTATCTAGCACCCCTCAGTTAAAGGGGGCTTTCTTCTGACACCTCTTATTGCACGCATTTGATTCACTTTATCAAAAAAAACATGCTAACAAGCGGCCCCAGAGCAGCCTGTTTACATAGGTCAGCATTCGCAAGATTCCTATTTTCAAAAAAGGTACGTTTTTTGCATTAATCACAAAGGAGACCTTTCAATAAAAATGCGTAGGAAATTCACAGTCATTACACGAGAGACTCTAGATGGAATGACCTGAATATTCGAAGCTTGCTTCTCAGGTCAAAACAAATCCGATTGGTAAGCACTTTATTTGATAAAATGAAGGATTACTCACACAGCATTGGCCTCCAGCTTCAACTGCAATCTCTTCTCTCTCTCGTCAAAGTTAAAATATCATTGAGTTTGGCAAGCTTCGATCAACCATATCCTTCATGTTATATTTCCGTTTTCAAGTCCAAATACTTTCGTTTTAATCGCTGTTGATTTTCCCCATTAGTGGAAGATGTTTTCGTGTAGCGATGACATCCCCCTTAACGACTTTTGAAACAAAACGCCCCTCAATGCTACAGCGGTAATTGTCCATAATTCAAAAAGAGACATACTAGGCTCAGCGGCTGATTGTCATGTTAATCGCATTCATTCAATATTTCTTTGTGTGACTCTTCCTTCCCTGTAGACTCGCTTTGATCAGTAACCCATGATTGATTTTGTGTTTGAGGAAATGTTGGCCAGTTTGCGGAAAATTGGCGAAATACACTCCAGTCTTGCGGAAAATTGGCGAAATTTGCAGAATCATCCAGTTTTTAGCGATATTGTTCAGTCTTAGCTCGCATATTTGTGTTTCGTTTTTCAGCAGTTGCCTGTCTTGGGACGTTCATTAAAAGGATCGCAAAACTCAGATTTCAAAATACACAGATCTCACATCTTTAACATACGAAACTCGCAGAACAAGCGATTTGCAAAAAGAATTCCTATATTGTGACGTCAAAAAATCTATTTTTAAAATTTTTCGATTTTGGATCCCAAAATCTGAAAAGGCATCATTAAATCAGTTACAGGTGTTACCAATTGACAGAGAAATGGTCACAAGAGCACTAGCTTTTGCCCCATCAAACCTCTGTTGTTTCATTTCTGTTCATAGATTTTTGAACAGGGTCAAAATAACAGTAATCCGTTAGCAAACTCCAAATCTTCTATTGACCATAGCTCAACTGATTTTAGACATATTTGACTGATCTTGAATAACTGAAACTATTTCTTCTTATTGGTTACAATTTTGAAATTCTACAAATAGTTTCTTTGTGACGTCACTATTAAGAACTACGATTGGAGATCTCTTCAAAAGAGCTTTTAATATTTCGGTGCAAAAATCTGCAATGACATCCTCAACAATGAAATAAAAATGGAATCAACTCACCTTTTCAAAAAACAAACGAAAACCTACCTCTTAGGCCTGTGAATTAAAGTCATTATAATAAGAAAGCTTGCAACGCTATCTTTAAGTATTTCCTCCCGGAAGAACAGTACTGTTATATTATATTATTTGTTTCTTTCTTCCGTACGCTAATACATTATCTATTTTCTTTTTTAATTTATTTAATTAAGTTCATTAGATAAATTCACTGAAGGAGTATCATGATGGAAATGAAAAAATGAAAAATGAACTAGAATATCTCTTTTTTCAAAAAGCGTGGTTCTGTTCAAGAGCGGGTGATGTTCCCCCTAAAACCATACCAGACTTGAAAGAAGTAAGAAAATTTTAAAGAATTCATCCAGGCTCCAAGCGAAAAGTTGATAAGAATAACGGGCTAGAAAAATTTCAAGGTGTTCTTAGTAAACAAAGTGTTAGGCCCGATGTCAGTTAATGATGTAAGAGTGACTATGTGTATCAGAGCACCCAACCCATCAAATATGATAGTTACCCTCGCCATGCAAGTAAGTCGGTAGGACAGGAGCAATGTATTGTGGAATTCCACAGTGCATTTTCTATTGTTTTGCTGTTTATTTGTTTTGGTGTTTAAGCTTATATTCTTATAATTAACTGCGTGCATTGATACGTAGCAACAGATGTATTTACTAATCATTTGAGCATAATTATACTAATCCTGTCTTTTCCGTGTTTCAAAAATAACTATACCCATAGGACTAATCGCGAACTGCTTTGTGTGCAGGCGAAGTAATCTCGTAAATTTGGTTGAGTTGTTGGTTTTGTTGATGTTGAGTAATAGATTCGCTTAGAGGTTATATGTTCGAATGAAGAATTGGAAACCTCGCTAAACTTGTATTTTTGAGATCTACTCTGACAAAAGAACCAGCAAGAACATGAGAAGTTCTATTACAATGTCCGAAAAGGCAGCAAATTGCCCTTTTAGAGTTGAGTTCGACGAAAACGATAGACAGTATTTGCAACAACATCACAATTTGGTGATATTAAAAGTCCGATTCGATAAACCCGTTTAAAAATGATTACAATTCATTACGACCCATTGTAATGGCCCCGTCTACACGAGTACGTTTTCAAATGAAAACGCAACTTTATTTTTGCGTTTTAGCTTACTGTCTACATGAAAACGGAAAATCTGTGAAAGAAAACGCAACTTTTTGAAAACGCTTTCCAAAGTGGAATTATTTGATGACGCAACTTTTTAAAAACAATTCAACAAAAACTCAGCATAAACATGTGCCTGCGCAGGTTTGACGAAAAGTGGCTGTCGAATCGAAAGCAGAACTCAAGCTTACAAATTCTAAGTAAATACAATGAGGAGGAAAATCTTTTCTCCTCTAAGACCTTGGTTACCATACGTTTTAGTCCTAACTTAATTTGGAGTGTAGGTGTTTCAGCTAATTAGATAATACGGGGACAATGCACAAGTAAATGGGAGAATACCCTAAAAACAGCAAGCTTGGGAAATTTTTTCAACAAGCAGGTCCAAGAAATATCCCTCAACTATCGGTTCTCTTTGAACGTATGGAAATAGTTGCACTTTTTCCATGAAAGTAGGTTCTAGAGCACTGATTCTACTGTAACTCAGGGCCGTCGCTTCGGGGGGAGGGGTGTGGGGGGTGTGACACCCCCCAGACTCTAACCTTGTCGGCAAATCTTCGAAAATGGAAGTTTTGTCGTCAACCTCTTGGAAACTGGGAAATTTTCAGAAGAAAGACAGATAATTTTGCCATTTTCAAATAGATATTATCGGTTGTTGATGACAGCACTAGTCACAGTTGAAATTTATGAAAACTTAACGAGAATAATTGATGATCGTTCAAACTCTCTCGTGCTAAAGGCAAGAAAGTTGCGCAGGAATAAAGCTTCTCAAATTGGGAAATTTTTGGAATCAACTTTGCGAAAGAAGCGAAATAGGAGCTTTGCAAAAACAAACTTTCGCGTTTTAGCGAAAATCATGGATGTAAAATTTGTCCAACAGAATAATTAATCGTCAAAGTTTTCAAGAGGACCAACAGCAAAATTTTCTGGATATTTCACAAAAATAAATTTTCGCAAATTTAGTATTTCAGGAAGTTTTGCGTATCAATCATCCGCGATTTTAGGACATAAACGCTAAAAAACGCAAAGGTTCCTTCCCTCGAAAGTTTCTTCCCGTGAAAATTTCTTTCCGCAAAAGTTTCTTTCCGCAAAAGTTTCTTCCTTGAAAGAAGTAAGCAACAGTTAAAGGCCTTCCCCTGCTGCCCTTTAAGTTTTTCTTTTCTCTGAAACCCTCTGCAAGGTGCATGCTTAAAAGTTATAATGAAGTATTTCTGGATGCTAATTGTTAAATGAACAACGTGTTTAGAAGAATAAAGCTTGGTACAGAGTAAGGAATCTGTATCGTTTTAAGTTCTCTTAATGATGATTTAGTGTGAATAAGTTTGTAGATAACTAAATTTCAAATTGTAGCCAAGATACTAACCTAGACAAATGAAAAGATGACACATGAAAGAAAAGAACATGCAGGTTGAATTTTTTGATTATTTTCTTGGCTTAATTTCAGAATATATATGATTATATATATATATATTTATTAATTATCATATTGCTGTCTAGAGTGCTCAACTTACCGGAGCGATTAGATAGACTAAAATAAACAGACTATTGTGACACAACTCTGAGTTTCATGTGTAAACAATCATCAGGTGTATAAAAGAACACAAGCTAACGGCAAGCAAGATATAACGGTGAAAACGAATAATCGAACACAATCAAACGAAGTTAATTGTGCAGAGTGATAAATCATAACAACTACATTCTAAGATCGAAAATTGCTAATCAAAAGTTTGTTTTGGTGTCTACATTGGCTTATAAATTCTGTTCTATTATAAAGTATTTTATTGTCCCCTAAAGATTGAATTATATAAAATTTTTCTGTCAGGCATAATTTACAAAAGTTGCTTCTAGCTGTGCTTTTTATTCTCTTGACAATTCTCCATTTAATGGTTGGTATCTTTCCTTGTTCCTTCAATTTCCAAATATATTTTGAAAGTTCGGTACTCTTTTTATATCTTTCGTGTTTAAAATCTTTGTTATGGTTAGCATATCGTAGTTTGAATGTACCTTCGGTGAGGCCAATATATTTTTTCTTTTCATCATCTTTATCGTTGCTACATGTTGCTTCATATATGAGGTTGGGTGTTAAACATTCATTTCCTAATGGGCAGTCGTCTTTGTTTTTGCAGTTACATCCATATTCTTCCTTGCTTTTTGGGTTTAAAACAGATTTGTTGTGTGAGGATATTATGGAACCTATATTTTTCATGCAGCTGTAACTAACCTAATTACATATAGATTGAGTGATAAATAAATGAAACTAAAAAATAAGAAAAAATAAAATGAAACAAAAAGTTTCAAGACCTCTTGTGGCCGTAAACTTTCTGAAGAAAATTTCCTGTGAAAAGAGTTTGGAATGTATAATATATAATATATAATATATATTTATTTATTTAATATATATATATAATCATAAGGCAAATGCTGACAGGAGGGAAATTCTTTCCACAAGGGTGCTGCCCAATTGTATCGAACTACTCTTGGTCGGAATCGAACTCCAGTTTGCTGAGCCACACGGCCCAATGAAATGAGCGATAAAACTCCGAACCCAACACTGGAGATCTCACTGAAGCCAAGGCAGTTTTAGTTTCTTCTGTTTCGGCTTTAAGCCTTCATCAGAGCTATTTAAACCATAGATATATAATCATAAGGCAAATGCTAAATATATGTATATATATTAGGTTCGCTTGAAAATATTGCAAAAATTGTCAGACTAGGATTGCTATTTTGATTTTTCATTAGAGTTTCTTAGAGTTACAAATGGAACCATTGTTTTGCTGTTATTATGCAGAGTTTAACTCCATACATAGAATTCTTGATTTAAATAGAGAGCCACAACCGTCAATAATTGATTTGAACTGAGCATATTTCAGCCTTTTCTCGCATTAGTTGGTGTGGCTTAAAAATGTTTATCTTCCACACCCTGAACCGGGACCTTTTGGTTTGCTGGCCACCCTGCAATATAGCAGTTCGAGGAAAAATATTCGCGAGTTTTATCAATGATAATTATAATTGTTTGAGAACCACGCCCATATCTGTTGCCACGCCCATGTTGTCGGCAAACCACTGGTTTTGCACCCCTCTCATGAAAATTTTCTAGCGACGGCCCTGCAGTGTAACTTGCTTGCTTTCTGGCACATACCACTGGCACATTATTTACATCGACCGTAGAAAATTCACAGCCAATATTATGATTGTTTTAAAAACGGCTTTCGATACGGTGTCATCCAAGTAAGGAATTCAAGCTCTTGAGCTATTGGCAGCAATGCGCAAAGTTCATTTGAACATGGAGCGGTATCTAAAAGCGGTTGTGTTAGGTGTGGTGTTCCACAAGGCTCGTGTTTAGGTCCGCCACTCTTCTTAATCTACATCTGGTTTTAATAACAGGATAAAGACTCAGGGTGTTGTTATTACGTATTCTTGAGATATGTTTGAATGCAGGCTTTACCGAAAGTGCTATACAGAAGACAGAATGCAAGAATTTCCTTCATGCACCTCACTCGCTATGGATTCAGATCTTTTATACCTAATTGCAGATTTTGGAATCTATTTTTCATAAAATCGCTTCATTCAGTTAGATGCAGGAATTGCTATTTAAATATTTTCCAACTGGTTGTCTACCCTTTGGAAGACTTTTGATAATAATTTTCTTTAAAAGAAGGGCCACCAAAAGGGAGACAAAGGAACAAGTTGCCCTAGGGTCTCCAGGTCTAGGGAGCCACATAAAGTAATGAATTCCATCTTTAAAATTGAATTAATCAAACGAAGCAAAAGTATACCCAAGAGAGTAAAATGTTTAAAACAATTCAAGCAATGACTGCAATAATTCTTTTAAAATGCATTTTTAGCTTATCTTAAGGGCATGGTCGCAAAACATTTTTGCCCGCTTCGCTCGCAAAGAGTCACTGCTTTCACGTTTGCCTCAGGACCTCCGAAAGCAATCGGCAGCCCTGATTATAATAATGGAAAAAAGTCAACTTTCATATATGAATTTTTTTTTATTTAGGAAACTCCTTCTTGTATTCAATAACACAATTTTATCGCATAATTGAGATTTTCCAGCCACAAATTTCAAACTCTTTTCACAGGAAATTTTCTTCAGAAAGTTTACGGTCACTAGAGGTTATAGAATAACAGCCTGATAAAGATTTGCTTGTAAACTTATTGTGAATAGTTTATGATTGTCATTAGTTTATATTTATTTAATTAGTTTCCTTTTTTATCTGTTTCAGTGGATTTTTAATCTGTTAAGTTTTAGCACCGCCCCTGAAAATCAGTCATTCTTACTGACTAATTAAATAAATATAAACTAATTTTAAATGAAATGAAATAAATTTGTGTTTTCCTTTCTAACTATGCCGACGAGCGGTGAGGTGTGAGGCTGGACAACCCTCTTTTTAGCATCTTGTGATAGCGGCCAGTGACAGCAGGAGAGAAAAGTTATCGCTTCATGTTCGAAGCGCGTTCAATTTCTCTCGTTTGCTGTGTGTAAAAACTTCACTATCCACTGGTTTTTTCGCTTAAATCCGACAACCGCAAGCTTCTCTAGATCCGCAAATCCGTAAAAAATCCTTAATCCACGTACAAAAATACCCACAATCCAAAAGATATAGCACCTTAATCATAAATAAACAAGATTCCTTCCCCCCCCGAGGGGGCTCATTGTCTCTTTGGTTACATGCTGCATTTCTTATCTTATTTCATCCTTGAATGCAGGAGGCTTCAGTTTAGCACTTATCACATTTGCAATTTCGGTTCTTCGATGAACACCGATCTGTAAGATAATATTATCAGAGAACGCCCCTTTTGTTAAAATATTATCAGAGATTCTGCAATGGCGAGAGCAGCTAAATGTCGTCCCTGTGTATTTAAGTTTAACTGTTTCATCACTGGACATCACGTATATAAAGATATATAGACCCCATGTATTCAAGAGGAGCTGACCTGTAAAAGAGAGCTTGATAATCAACACGATCAATATTCCGTGGAAGTTCTGAAAGATTGAGAAATTGTAGGGCACATTCCACGACTATTTTCTAAAACTTGCACCCTCATTTTGCTGTCCGGTGGCTCCATGAAAGTTTGCGTGACAGGAAAACGAGAGAACAAAAGAGGAAAGGGGCTGGAGGTCCCTTGTTTAGTGACTATCAAGGTTTCAGGACATATTTTATCAAAAGTAGAACCATTTATTAAAGATATTTGTAAAAGACTTAGTGAAAATAATTGAATCTTTTATATGGAAACTGCTTTAAGTTATTTTTCTGTCAATAGACGGTAAGAGATATGATATTCAAAAAACCAGGCCGGATATAGGCGCCACGGATATAGGATACAGGCCGGATATATTAAAGATCAAACAATGGAAGGATAATTGCAGCTGCAGGCTATTTAGAAACTTTGTAGCACATGTCGGAGTCTTGACATGAATTGTCTAACATTAATATTTTCAACTATTAATCTAATTAAATCCTAGGCTTTTTTATTTATTTCTTTAAATAGCTTTTATATCACTGTATAATATTATTATTTTTATTCCTGTAAATAGTAGGCTTTAATTAGCTTATCGTTTAGCTACTACTGTAAAGAACGCCTACTGTAAATAAATGAATTATTATTATTATAATTATTATTATTATACGGCGCCTTTATCCGGATATAAGCGCCGGCGCCTATATGCCAGATTATAGGGTACCTGGAATGCACTGGCGCAACTGCAGTTTACCCGCGTTTTGCACGCGTGAACAGTACCTGTGGTAGATTTGAAGTCCTTGCGGTGCTTGGTGTCTCTCTTCCGAAACAGACGAGATGGCGCTTAGGGCTTTTACCAGAAGGCTGCGGGATGCTTCCAAAGTACCCAAATTTCTCCAAGATCAAGCCTTAATTGGTAACCAAGCAGCCCCAGTTGTGAATGCTGGACTACAGAAAAGAGAATGTAAGACATGTTTTGTACAAACATGTTCTTTTACTTTGTCTTGTCCGGGCCTAAGGAAATTCAGGTGCAACAAACATGTGACCAGAGAATGATATGAGTGGGGTTCCAAAAACGGCCTGAGCCAATTCTAAATAACCGGTAAAAAACTGTTGAAGATAGTGGACGGATATAATAATAAACAACTAAATGGTTTTAAGCTCTAAATCTGATCCTAACTTTCTTGTTTTCCTACTTTTACCCTAACCATCTCATGGTACCGGGCTATCAGCTGGTCAAACGGATAGGATGTCAGTTAAAATGCTTGTTCACCTGCATTTCCATTTAAACATTTTCTATCATTGTATCTGCTGGTGCTGCACATGTGTGCTGCCGATGTCTTAGGCCATGGCTTTGCCAGGCGAAGCCCATCGAGCAACAAACACACCTGGATTGTATGGAAGACCAAAACGATGCTTAAGTTGTAGAAAAACTCAAAACAAAGTGTTATTGATGCCTTAAGAGCAGCTGTTGCGCGACAGTTTTCAAAATATATGTCTTTTACTGTTGTACTCTACATTAATTGGATGCTTTTTGTTAACAACTAATGTAAGCTGTTCTTCTTTTCACCTAAAATTTCTTGATTTTTCAAGTTTTCAAAAGGTTTCTTGGCTATAATTCATGTTTTATGATATATATTGCTACAAATGTTAACAACAGGCAGGATGTTTAAATTGGAACCAACTTCTGGTAATCATGAAAACTGAAGGCTACGTTAAGTACACACCCACTAATTTTCTGCCCAGCTAAATAGAGTTCTTCAGTGTGACAAAAATCGGTTTTTGATTAAAATTTATTTAAATTTGACCACATGACCTCAAAGGACACCATCAAAATAAGTTAAAATGCCCCAAAAATCAATCAAAAGCTTGAAGAGGTGTTTTCAATGAAAGATTTGAAATGTGCTATATGATTGTTATTGTCCTCAAACTAAGAGCTTCAGTTTGTTTCAAAATATCTTTTTTCCAAACGATTTTTAATTTTTGCCCCCAAAAAACCATGATCTAAGTTAAAGAATTCTCAAAATGTATTTTTGTGATGTTGTCGGTTATGAACTCTATGGATGCCCCTTTTACGGATGAGACTAATGTGCCCTTCTTAAGTTTAAGGTTAGATATTGTCTCATGTTTTTTAAAATAAGAGTTTTTGCCTCAGTTCCATGCATATGCCTTGTTTTGAAATTATTAAATGTTGTATATATATATGACTGCACAATGTTTATGGTAATTAAAAATGAAAATAAAACTTAAGTAAGGGAAAATTGCAGAAATCCACAAATAAAATAATAATTTGACCCCCATGTTGCTGTCAGCACCAGTGCCACTTAAGCACAGATAATGGAGATGAAACTTAAAATGACACCAAGATGATAGCAAGGAATTTTTGCGAAAATCTGCAAACATAATGTTAATTTGATCCTCATTGCCACATAAAAAGTCTTAACTTGTATTCAATTTTTTCCGTGATGCATGCTACTAGTACTGTGCATTTCACACATTAGTCTATCTATTCATTGATATTCTTGGAATTGCAATTGAATATCGAGGGGCCTTGATATTTAGCTACTATTCTCTTACACTTCTGTCATTACCTGTCATTCTTCTGCTTTTAGAAATTTTTGGTGAATAAAAATTTTTGTTGTGTTACATTTTAATTGCGTCTATACATAAATTATTTATATAATTCTTTGGTGTGATGATGGTTTTTTATCTCGCAAAACTTGTGTGTGACAAGCTCAAATTATTTTGAACACCATGTAAAAATACAGAGGAAAAACATGCCAAATTTGTATTCTGAAGAAGTATATTTTGTTTTTGAATACCCCTAGTATTTTAATAAACCTGTTCAAATAAAAAAAATTTGTTAGTTTCTCTGTGTAAAAATGTTTTGTTTTCAATTCTACAGATAGTAATGGAGGAAAAATCAAAGTCGACAAACCGATAGTAGAGATTGATGGGGATGAAATGACTAGAATTATATGGGCAAAAATAAAGGAAAAGGTATGCATTTTGCTTTTAATGGTAGAATGTTTTTGTGAGTTAACAAAAGGCTTCATTAACAAACTGTCTCTCGTAGATATTGCTTATAAGTTTGTTTAAGTAGAATACAAGCTGACGAAAAATTGTCTAGTATAATGCCAATATTTAAGTTGTCTATGTCTATAACTAAAAATAATAATAATGATAATAATAATCTACATTTATGCAGGATAAAAGACTTGGTCAGCTTGCTCAGAAGCTGCTATCAGTCAAGGTCTTGTTGAAATTAAGGTTAAAAAGGAAATTAAAGGATGTCAAATTTATAAAAAGCCTAAAAATTACATATTTTAACTTCACTGTCAAGTTGATGTGTAGTGGCAGAGCATATCTTTCAGCAAAATTTGTTTAAAATGTTGTTTATAGCTTATTGCCATGACAGCTTGTCTGAAGAAGTTATCATATTATTTATTATTACAATTAATGAAGGAGTTATTACAATTGGCCACTTACTACATCACTCATTATGCATTTCTGTTTGCGACTATGCATGCCACGTCTACAAGAAACATTTTTTTCCATCAATATAAAATACAAACATATAAAAACAATTTCAGAGTTGAATCAGTGACAACGCAGTGACATTTAAAAATGCTTCATTTCTTTTGGGATACAAAACGTTTGATTTGTTTTTACTAAGCAGACACACTGTGTCCCCCCCTCCTATTGTTTCGAGTTTCTACAACTTTTGTGCATGCAACCATTTTTTCTGATAGAACATCCACAGAGATGCCAGAAAATATAAGGATTTCTTTGTTCGACCATGGGTAGGGGTATCTCAAGATTTGGGTTTAATTGAAGAAATTTTGGCTAGCCTATTTTGAAATGTATATATACTACCAGGACAAAAGTATTGCAACACCTGCGAAGGCGATAAATGGCGGATCTCGCAATACCTTTTCTTGTTGTCTGATTAAGCTATTGTTTAATCAGCCAATGGCGCGCAAGTAAAACTGCGAATTCAATGAAACGTAAATTTGAATATTCCATTTTCATTTTTTCAAAATTTGAAATCAGCAATTCAAGTAACTTTTAATTAAACAAACTTTTTGTAGAGGTGCTTCTGGCTCTGATAAATGCAGAGAATTGCTTTGTAATTGATGCAAAAACATGGTTGATAAAATGCACTGGCATTCTCCTTCATTCTCCATAAGCTCTCTAAATCAGTTCTTGTTTGGACCTTAGAGAACCTAGTGGATTTTTGGCAACAAGAAATTTTTGCTTATTTTAAGGTTAGGTCTTTGTGATGGCCGAGGAAGGACATAGAGTTTGCAGATTTTCAGGTAAATTTGAGTAAAAATGGCCTTGTAGGGGGGATGCATTCATTGCTTTTATGATAAAAACTGCCTTCGTCATTTTCCTAGCATTGATTTGATTCCACCAAAGAGACTGTTTTGCATTATTTTGACATAATTCACTGCATTAACTCGCACATCACTAGTTGATGGTTTATCAATTTTTATGGGCCTAAACTGTACCCAAAAAATTACCCAAGGTGAAATGGAAAATTTCGGGGCTAAAGAAGTCCCTGATTTGTTGTTTCCTGATCTCTCGCTATTTTGCTATCATTTTCTGTAAAAAGTTTCAAAATCTTTAGAATGAAAAGACCAGTTACACGAAGTTTTGTCACAACTACTCACTCCTTATCCTGTTGATATTTTGATTTTACCACAGCAGATATTTTTTCTTATAACAGTAAAATTCCCTACGTTCTATTGTAAATCTTCTGAGTATTTCGAGATCCACAATAAATTCCAAAGATTTTGACTACTGGTTTAGCATGATTATTTTCTTATTTAAGGGGAATATTTCAGCGTAAAGACTTACAATTGCGAAAATTCCATTTTTTTGGATGCCATTTTCATTTGGGTGTTGCAATACTTTTGTCCTGGTAGTGTATGTGTGTAGATATCAGCTAAGACCTGTTCACTCAATACAGATAAATATCACGTGATATCATACCCAGGGCACCAGGTTTTAGGGTTATGGGAGCTCAATGCCCATTTTCAATTTCAAAAAAGGAGAAAATTTCTAGTTTTGCTTTTATTTTTGCAACGTTTTACACTCCACCTAAAGATGCTTTAAGGGCAATGTTTTTAGTGACTTGAAATAAAGTGCCATGAGTTTTCTAGGAGCTTGTTTAATTGAGCACTTTAATTTTGCTTAGAGCAAGACCTGTCATACCCTGTTCACCATTTCTTTTAAACTTGATTAATACATATATATATGATGTTATTGTCAACGTAGACTATAATTTTGATTAATAAAACTTCAGTTATAAGTAGCTGGCAGTCACATAAGCAAAAACCCTAAAATTATTTGCAAAATCAGGCAGTTAATTTTTCCGAATTTATGTTGAATGTTGTAGGACTGCTATTATTTTTTTAAGGTTTTTAATAAATAAGGTTTCCTGACATTGTTAGGGAATCATTTGACCAATTCCTAATTTTTAATATAATTTTTAAGTCTTTAGATTAAATGGAGAATAAAGGAGAGAGGGAGTAGGTAGAGATAATTTTGTAGACGTTTGTCAGGCATTGATAAGGTTGTGCGAAGCTCAAATTGAATTGGATGGACAAGGCGAGGCGTTTCTTGTATTCATGGTACGTGCAAAAGGGCAGAAGTTCTTTGTTTCATACTGTCCTTTGTATCTTGAGAGTTGTGGTCAATGTGGGAGTAGTTATTTTTGTTGATTAGAAGAAAAAGTGAAAGGATAAGGCTAGGATTTGGTCAGAGGAGAAAGTAACAGATTACTTGCACTGTAGAAGGACAGTTTGTTGGGCAAAAACATTCCTTGTTAAGTTAATCCATGAATTTTGCTTGAAGAAACCTGGTAAAAGCCCTGTGATTTCTTTTCTGTTACATGCCGAGTAATAGGCAAATGATCTCTTTCATTGAAACCTGTGCTTTGTGCCGTCCATTTTAGTACATTCAGCTTGTGTTACTAACCCGCCCAATTTGAGCCTAATTTGAGCCTAATTTGAGTGACTTTATGTGATAAGCCAATTCTTGAAAGTTGTATTATCTCCAGATGAGTACCTGTCTTTTAACAGGTTTTAAAACTTTTAAGTAGATTACAAGCTGCCTGAAATTGTCCAGTATAGTGCTGATATTTAAGTTGTGCGATCTGTCTATAACAAGATTTGGCAAATTGCCCACTTTAACAGAGCATATGTGTAGTGGCACTTCGATTAACATCTGTCAGCGAAAATTGCTGCTATTTTTTGTCTCCTGGCCATTGCTAAATCAGAGGAAAGTAGAAATAGGTGTTCACATAGATCGCAAAATTCAGTAATGCATACTCTGATAGGAGTGTTTGAGACATCTACGAATCTATGAATCTAAAGGCCAGATGAAACGATGTTTTTAAAAGATGTTCTTTTGAACTCTGTCCTCACCAGTTGCATTTCAGCCATTCTATATGGAAAGATTTGAGAACCTTTGTCTATTTTCGCCCAGGTTTAGAAAGGGGACCATGGCTCCAGGGACAAATTTACTGGGGGGTGTAGGGGTGTGACAACCCCGGTATTTGTGTGTCCTTCCGTAAATTTACCTTGATTCGGTAAAAGCAATTATTGCTGGTCAGTAGTAACAAAATAATGCAAAATTTTGATTTTTGTATCTTCTTATCTTCTTTTACTTTGAAGTAAAGGCTGAATTGTTAGAATGGGTGTTTCCGTCATTTTCCAGTCACCTGAAGGGTGTGGCATCAAAATTCAATGATTATCTAACAACCTCCCCAATCCTTGTCGCTTGAATTCATCCCTGCATGGCTCAGCTTGAGTATAATAATTTAATATGCGATCTACTTGTTGCTCTTTATCAACTCCTCTGCAAAACTTTTTTATATCTATTACAATATTCGAACTCTCCCTTAATTTTATGCTTAGCCTTAAATCGTGAAATCGTCTTCGTTCCTAGTCGCAGATTATCTCCCTATATTTCCCGCCAGTCTACCTTTAATTATAAGACGGCAAAAAGTGGCGTTTTGGGTGCCTGATTTCGAGACAATTATAAACCTTTTTATTTAAAGTTGTATTAGAAGTCTTTGCTAATGGAAGAATAGTTGGACCTTAAATTTTGCAGCCTGTTCCAACTGCCATTTAATTTATGTTAAGTTGCCATAATTAAGAGTTTCTTAAAATTGATTTAAATCATGTTTTTAATCAAACTAACGTTTTTGATTTTTTTCTTTCTGTCAGCTTATATTCCCATTTCTCGATTTGGACTGCAAATATTTCGATCTTGGGTTGCCATACAGAGATGAAACGAACGACCAAGTCACAATAGACGCCGCAGAGGCAATGAAGGAATACAATGTTGGCGTGAAGTGTGCAACCATCACCCCAGACGAAGCTAGAGTTAAAGAGTTCAATCTGAAGAAAATGTGGCGCAGTCCCAATGGCACCCTCAGGAACATTCTAGGTGGTACCGTGTTTCGTGAACCAATCGTTTGCAAAACCATCCCTCGTTTGGTGCCTGGATGGGAGATGCCGATTATAATTGGGCGTCATGCTTTTGGCGACCAGGTGGGCCTTCTTCATTGATTCCTCTAGGAGCGCCCATGCTGGATATAAATTTAGTATTTTATGCTAAGCTTGCAATATCAAACCCTTTTCTTTGAGTTTTTTCAGTAGATTCTGTGGTGTTATTCAATAAATATTTTGTGATGAATTGGAGTATAAATTGCTTTTTGTGCGACTTAAAAAAACGAATATTATTTGTTTATAAGAATTACACTGTTGCCATCAAATGCCCAAACATTGTGCAAATAAGTAGTATGGTCATACCGCCAAGACCATTTTGAATTCTTTGTACGATTTAATGTTCCTTAAAGCACCTAGAGCAGACTGCGTATGAATTAAATATCTACCTTAAGTTCTTCTTCTCTGTTTCGTCAGGATTCAGTCGTTGAACTTGCCACAACACAAGATATTTTATCCACTGCTTTTCTTAATACATTTGCTTCTTTATTTCCAGTATCGTGCAACGGATCTTGTGGTCAGTGGTCCTGGAAACTTTAGTCTGACTTTTACACCGGCTGACGGCGGTAATAGTACTTCCATCAGTGTTTTTGATTTCAAGGATAGTGGGGGCGTCATTCTTGGCATGTATAATACCGACGAGGTAAGACTGGTTGTCAAGTTGGCATTTCAATGTTTTTAGTTTAATCTGTGAAGTACTTCCTGGGCAACAAAACCAAGTTTGTTTTTTTACTGCTTTTAACGACACACAAATCAAAATTGTTCAACGACACACAAATCAAAATTGTTCAAGATGAGACCCCCACCAAAAGAATCTTCTTTTCTTTTCTAGTCAATCAAGGACTTTGCACATAGTTGCTTCAACTATGCTCTGTCTAAACAATGGCCACTCTACATGAGCACAAAAAACACCATTTTGAAACGGTACGATGGCCGATTCAAGGATATATTTCAGGAGATCTATGAAGCGTAAGTTGATTTGTTCAATTTGTTAAGATAATTATGTCAATTGATACATAAGAGTACTTAGCAGTACAGAGTCTCTTCTAAGAACCCATTTTGATTTTGATTGTTGAAAAAGTAGGAAAAGGCCATGTCTTCAATGACCCTTTTCGACTGACCACCTTTTACGACCACCCTTTTCGACCACCCTTTTCGACCACCCTTTTCGACCGAAAAATTATTGGGGAGGGGGGGGGAAGGGGGGAGCCTATTGTTTTAATAAAATGGCGTCACTTTCCCATTATTTTGAACAAAATACCATTGTCCTCTAAAGTATTGGGGGCAGCCGCCCCCTCGCCCCCAGGTGTCCGCCACTACTATGAAATCAAATCATTTACTGTTTTCTAACTCCCTTTTTTCGCTGAAAAAGCTCAGTAAGATTGAATCCTAATAACACAAAGAACAGCCTTATCAAGCAGTTATCACGTGCTTTCATTATGCGTGCAGTGAAAACATTTGCTCTGCACTCTGCAAACGTTTGGACAAAATTGGCCTAAATTGTCCTAGTAAACTTTGTGATTTTTTTCGAATCATCCACCCAAGCTTTGTGTGAATGTCCTTGCCTCTCTGACATGTTTTCTTACTTTAAGATGCAAAGTTAAACTTAATTTTCGTTCAATGCATTTGACATTTTAGAAGCTACAAATCAAAATTCGAGGCTCTTCAGATCTGGTATGAGCACAGGCTGATCGATGATATGGTAAGAATCTGCTTTGAACCTGCCTTGAATCTGCCCTGAATCTGCCTTGAATCTGCCTTGAATTTGCCTTGAATCTGCCGTGAATCTGCTGTGAATCTCCACGAATCTTCCTTTAGCATTAAGTTATTTTTAATAGACTGCTGCACAATGGCTTCGTTGCTCATGGTAACCCAACAGTTTAAATTACTGGAACCAATTGTTTCTTGTTCAGCCACTTTGACTTGTATCATCTCACTGACCAAAAATTTGGAAAACTATAAGTCGTTGCAAGCCGACCCAAAGAATATGCTGTTGGCAGATTTTCTATTCCACAAAGTGCATTGAAGCTCGTTAAAGCTTTTAACGTCACTTTTGGTCATAAAATATCCGTAGATTTGAACCATGGAGAAAGAGAATCGCCCATCGTTGGCATTTGTTACCTGTGGATTGCCTGATTCTCTTTCATTTGTTTAACAAGTAACTTCAGGCACCGACAATTTATTTCAATTTTGGTCCTTTGCATTCATGATTCAATGTGCGTTTTTTTGACTCACGAACGGGCTGTTTCATTAACAAGAAGCATTATTCATATTAAATGCAATTCATCCTCATACTGCGATTGTTAAAAATTTGTTAAACGCTTTTCAATCAAGGTTGCTTACGCTTTGAAGTCAAGCGGTGGCTTCGTTTGGGCTTGCAAGAATTACGACGGAGATGTACAATCAGACACGCTGGCCCAAGGATTCGGGTCTTTAGGGCTGATGTCCAGTGTTTTGATTTCACCCGATGGAAAGACTGTTGAATCAGAAGCCGCCCATGGAACTGTCACCAGGCATTACAGAGAGCATCAGAAGGTACTCGTTGTTTGTGCTTGTGCTTGAATCAGGATATCCTCGTTTTTCTCTACGATATCATCGCAAAGTTATGACGATTTTAAATTTATTTGGAATTTAGATTTGATAATCTGTAAGAATACCATGAAATAGCCGTAAGTATGAGAGCATCTGTACAAAAGTGACTGAGATATGGCCAAATTAGCACAGATTCCTGCCCTATCAGCCACTGTAATTTTGCCTTGGTTCTATAATCTATGAACCATTCCAAAACGACAGTAATACTTCATTAAACTTCGGGTTCTGCATTGGTTATATCGTAGCCAGTTTGTAAAAGATCTAGCTGGTTTTGCAATTTTTGATGGGATTATTTCGTGTTCATTCAGATTTTAGAGTATTGCCCAATTACGGCCTACGCTAATAAGTCATTTTTGCTAGGGCTCGTCAGTTGCATTAAACCTTGCTGCTCAAATATCAACAACGTTGAAAAAAAATCATAAAAATTTCGGCCAATTTCCGGGGCTTAGGAGAATGCAAAACAAAGAGCCGCCGTTTATTTAGTCGTAATTAGAACCTCTCTCACTATTTCACACATCACTTCGATAGCTTTGTGCAGTCTATCTATGTCACCGAATATTATTCTGTTATTTTGCAGGGAAGGGAGACCAGCACAAACCCTATTGCCAGTATCTATGCATGGACTCGAGGCCTCCTTCACAGAGCCAAGCTTGACGGCAACAAAGACCTCACTGTGTCAGTATTTTAAACTGGTCTTACCTCAAGTATTACTTTGATATCAACGCGATTCGAAGGTCGCTCAACAAAGAATGATTAACAGAGAATGCTGTATTTCTGTGGTATTGCTATCATCTTTGTCCAGTGCAAAATCTCATCTTGTTTACCTGCTATAAGAAAAAATCCCGCAGAATCTGGTATTTAAGGTTTTATATTAAACAGGTGAAATCCACAAAGCTGCAATAATGGGTGGTAGCAAGCCCAAGGAGAGGGGGAGGGGGAGGGGAAGGGGCAATTGTCCATGGGTCAATTAGCAAAAAGGAGCCCCCAGGTAGTTAGATTTTCTCGATAATAAATATGAATGGCAAGGTAATTACAAATCATACCTGTATTTGGAAAGTTTGGCAATGCTTTGAAAATAGAAATTGAATATATAAAGAATGATTTTATGCATTTTGAATTTATACTAAACGCATTTAAGGTTTGTCTCTTAGGGTAGGAAGGGGCCTAAGCATTCTGGATGCCCCTGAGCCCGGCGTGGTCCCCAGCGACCTTGGGTGATAGAGATACTTAGGTAGAAGCGTTATATCAGAATTCTACGAATCTGTTTGCCTCATCCAGTCACCCTTGCTGTTGCTGTTGTTGTTGTTGTTGTTGTTGTTGTTGTGTTGATACGTCATTGTGATGTGCCCATTCTACTTCCAGGTTTTGTAATGCATTAGAGCAGGCTTGTGTTGACACAGTAGATGACGGAATCCGCACCAAAGATCTTGCTGGATGCATTTATGGCTTAGCAAAGTAAGTTTGGCGAAAATGCTCTTCGTAGTTTATTTACCGAGCCACTCTTTTAAGCATTGATTTCCTGTTTAAATTTAACAACTATGCGATTCACAATCTACGGATGTCAAAACCCAGGAATAAACGCAAATGCTGCGCAATGTAGAAACATCGACAAACAAGCCAAAGTCCTCCATAGCTTCTCGCGAAATATTATCACATGAAATATTACCACATGAAATATTATCACATAAAATATTACCACATAAAATATTATCACATGAAATATTATCACATGAAATATTATCACATGAAATATTATCACATGAAATATTATCACATGAAATATTATCACATGAAATATTACCACATGAAATATTATCACATGAAATATTACCATATGAAATATTACCACATGAAATATTATCACTTGAAATATTATTATTACCACATGAAATATTATCACATGAAATATTATCACATAAAATATTACCACATGAAATATTATCACATAAAATATTATGACATGAAATATTATCACATGAAATATTACCACATGAAATATTATCACATGAAATATAATAATGAAAAGTTTGTCATTCCTGCATATCATTAGGCCTATGTTTGGCTCATTCATCTGTTTTTGATCACGACAGTTTCGCAATGCTGTTCTCGTATTGATGTTTTTTATTCTGTTTCAGTATAAAACGAGAGCACTATGTCCTTACTGACGAATACTTAGATGCTGTCCGCTCAAAATTGCTTGAAATTTGGTCACCTCCTCAGTGAAGAAAAGAACCGTCCTTCTTTGAACGTGTGTCGTACAGGCGTTGTTAAATCTTATCAAATTTTGCACAAATAGAATGATTTTTCTATCTTTGAGTGTACAATATAGCTATGTTATTTATAGTGAATTGTGGAGGCAAAGTGGCCTGGAATTAGCAGTAGAATGCTATAACAAATAATTGTGCAGTCATATTGGTCTTCTATCTGTTTTTTACCCTCTAATGGTAAAATGACCTCAGCGGGCCAATGAAATGCCTTTTATCAATGACAGATGAAGAGACTTTAGCAAGCCCTTCAAATACTTAAGCATGCAAATTTTCTATCAATATCATATCTGTTTTCTTCTACCTTTGAGCCCGGAACAGTGCTATCGCCGTACATTCAACTACCTATAGCTAACGGGCTCTTGAACTTAACGTACCTTCTGTCCAAATTGTTCTCATTTACGTTCAGCTTTCTAGAAATTATTACAAACTTCTCCTACCCCCTCAATCGATTTGGAATTCCAAAGCTAAACAATTACCTATTTTCTCTAATATTTGCAAACGATGTTTTTGCCTCATTGAATTGGCATCGTTTTTGATTATCCAGTTTCAGCAACTGAAAGATTTTACTTCAAGTTTTATTTTAATGCCGATAAAGACATAGACAGCTTAATTTCATGGCTCAGATCATCATGTTGCCCAACGCAAGTTTATAAGCCAATTTTTATTTGTTTTATGATGATGTTACTTTGGACTGCTGTTATTACCTCAAAATCACAAGATGATATACAGTATGATACTCTAAGCTTGGCAATAAGGAAACAGGGTTTTAAAAGAGTGTCGACCCTCAAAACAATTGACAATTTCAATTACATTGACAGTAGTAGAAGACTACGCCGCCCAGCCTATCAGTTTGATGGTACATTAAGTACAAAAACTTTCGACGTGAAAACTTCGGACAAATCCAGAAAGACTGGCGACATTAAAATTATCTGAAAATGAACTTTGAAACACGGCAAAAGCATTTAATAAGCAATGTTTTTATATTGGAACCGATTTCACTGTTTGTGATTCTATTTCTAATGATTCCGAAAATTGTTAACAACAAAATTGTGAACCGTTTTAAATGTTTAAAATGGTTGAAAACCAGGCAATAAATCAGTAAGGACGAAATCATTATTGAAAAAGTAGGAGTATACCAAAAGCAGTGGCACAAATATATCTTTGCGAATAATTTTCAAACTCGAGACTTACACAAATAGTTATTCTAATCGGTAAATTTTTGTGAACATTAGGATGTAAAAGCATCTTTGGTTGAGCCACAAATAGCTAGATAGTTATATAATTGTCTATAAAGTTAATTGTATAATTGCGATCTATACTACACAAGAAATTAGATATTTATTCAATAGATACTTGAACGGCAATTCCTACTCAGACAAAAATCGACTAATTCCATGAACAAGAAACAAGCCTAGTTATTAATGTATTGAGGGATTATCGAACCTAAAGAAAATGGTGGAATTATGATAGCATGTGATGATGCAAAAAACTTAATTAAAGTGAGCCAATGTGAAAAAGGACATTTCTCCTTTTTTATCAAAATTTCAAGATATGGACGAATTGCAAGCTCATTTTAAGTTAGTCGCCTAAGTATAATGAAAGCACGAAGTATTGCTATTGAATTTCGGAACAGGTTTTAAAAAAATTGTATGGTATGACGTACTACAGTAGTTGTTGCTGTTGTTTTCATTTAATGTACACGTGAAAAATGCGTTAGAAAGGAGATTTGAGTTGAAGTTGATTAGAGAAGACAGAATTAGAACGGATCGAATTTGAACCACCAGCGTATATAGCAATTTGGCACACAGGTTCTGAAGTACGGTAGAAAGAGAAGAAATTAGACCGATGATATAGTTGTGCATCAGAGAGTTTTTGTTAATAAGCAAAATTGGTCGAAATAAGTTCTTTTTGTGTTCTTATGAAGAGGTATCTAGGCCAAGATGGCCTCTAACCGAATCACAACATAAACATAAAAATAAAAGTTAAAAGAATTACTGCTTCAAAAATTTATTTACTTAATTTATCAACTTAATATCAAATAATACAATTGTTAAGTACGAATGGACAAAAAAAAAATAAAAATGCGTAATATTAAAATGCCATTTTACAACGAAAAATTTATATTATCAACTAATAATTAAAATCCAGGGTTTGAACACCTTGGGACTTAGTATTGTTCTACTGTTCTTTCTATCGTTTTTCAAAGCATTTATATAGAAAAGTGGCAACTAAATTGAGACATTTCAAGTCTTCTTGGCTTAATATCCAAATGAATTGATTCCAACTTGTTAGCTGCTTTAAATTAGGGGCTATTCGTTGGAAATCATTTAAGGAATAACACCTTTTATCAGCGAATTCTGGACACACCATAAGTAAATGAAATTCATCTCCTAAAACCCTTAAACTTGTCGCTAAGCAGAAACTGCAATGTCGTTCTTCTCTAGGGACAGGGTTTTTTCCAAAACGGCCAGTTTCTACTTCTAGATTATGAGCGCTTAGTCTTAAACGTGAAAGCATCGTCTTTTGTTGAAGTCTTTGACAATGTCAAGATAGGATTCTAATTTGAAAATTGTTGTAACTTGACCATATGTACATAATTTCTTGTTTAGTACAACGAGCATTTTAAGCTTGTTCATTATTTCACTCGCAAAAAAATTTCCAGCCTTAGATTCTATCGCAGCAGTGTTATCGTTGTGACTGATTTCATATCTGGTTTTCATTTTGTGGGCTTTCGATACCCAGTTAGAGAACCATTGTTTATGCTGTTCAAAAGCGCTTCAAATCATTTACGAACATACCTATCTGGTTCCCAATCAAGAAGGGACTCAAGCCTGAACAAGAATTTTAAGATATTTATGTGCCTGCTACACTGAATGGAAATTCTGCCTAATTCAGCATAAATAGCCTCAGTGCAAGTAGTAAATTGAGCTCCAAATATGTATTTACAAGCAGAGAGATGTAAACGTTCAAGGGTAGGCCACTCATCAAATCCCCAGATTTCTGAGCCATAATTTATAATGGGTACTATCATCTGGTTAAATAAATATAGAAAGAGTCCAGGCTGTAAACCATTCAACTCTTTGCATTTAGAAATTAAAGCAAATATGCTTTACCAGCGTTTCGCTTGACCTTTTCAATACGCTCGTTAAAGAAACCATTCAACTTAAATTTGATTATTACAAAAATGAAATAACAGTAGGTTTTTGAAAACTGATAAACCGCTTTTCTCCGTCAAAACTCAAACTTCATCCAGAATCACATTAATGAAAAATCATACGCTAATCACTGAGGAAAAAGAAGTAGAAGAAATGTTTGATGGCTATTTTTTAACATTACCGACCCATTAGGATAACCAACTAAAAATGGCATTACCTGTACAACCATCCTCATAATTTCAGTTCCAACTGGTTACAACTAAAAATATTTTGCAAAAACTACAAGGACTAAAGCAAAATGAGGCATTCCCGATTGACAATATCCCTAACAGGATTCGAAAGGAAAATTCTGATATTTTCTTTGATATATTACAAAAACGAAGAGAACCATTCCATTAATAACGAAATGTTTTCTTCTGAATAAAAGGAGGTGAGTGTTAAAAAGGACATCGCATAGCAAAACTCGCAGTTTATGGTTCAAGCAAAGAGGCCCTCAATCTTATACACAGCTATTTGCCTGGAAGGCGGCAAAGAGTGAAAGTAAATAGTTCTTTCAGTACCTAGAAAAGACTTCATTTGGCGTTCCACAAGGCTCAGTGCTAGGCCCCCTGCTCTTCAATATCTATATTAACGACATTTTGTTTCTGGTGAAAGATACTAATTTATGTAATTATGCGAATGATACTATTATCTTCTCATGTTGATCCGATCTGGACGCAGTATAAGACAGAGTTTATTTTATTGCACTTTTATCACTGCACATATCCTTTTAAAAATATTCACGACTACATCAAACAAGCTAACTGTATGTGAAGCTTTCGAATTACATCAGATCTCGTCAAAGCCTTACGAAAAATTCTGACGAGGAAAAGTAGTCTAAGTTTAAACATGTTTTCGTGAACAACGATTTCGAAGGAGAAGATGAAGAACGAAAAAAATCAGATGGCTTCTAGATACTGAACAAATTTTAGAGAGATTTCACAGACAATGATCATTTGTACTGTTATGTTCTCGTTTTTAATACTGTAATGCTCTTTTTTTAATGTCTACTCGTAGTTGCTGCAATTATACTTTTTCAAAGCGACATTTCTTTATTCTAGTTTTATCACTGCACAAAATATGAGCTTATCACTGCACAAATACGATTTATCACCGCACTAAATGGTTATCACTGCACGTTAAAATAAACCCTGGATAAATTTTTGGGAAGAAAGATAAAGAAGTCTCTTCAAAAAAGTGTTATATTGTCCAGCGGGACAAGTGTTATAATAGATGTAATTGGCGTTGTCATTTTCTAACAAAGTACCCTGATGCATAAATAGCAAGAATTTATTATGAGAAAACTTAACCCAATGCCAGGAAAAGGCTCAAAAACGTTGATTAGTACCAATTTATTCCAATTTCAAAAGTCATATTTGGTAAACATGAGTAAGGTAAATCTTTGAAATTTTCAATGGAAATTTGACCTTCTAAAAGACATGAAGTAGAAGCAATCGCTACTTGAATGTCCATTCTTGGTCTGGCAAGGGCTTTGTCGATTCGATACCTCTTGTAAATAAATATATTCCCTTTCTCAGGGTCTTTTTTCACAGACCAAGATGCAACAACCCTCTTAATAAAGTTAGTAAATGTTCGTAACAAGAGAGTTACAAGGCATTGATCTGCTAGCAAGATGAAGACCTATTATACCATCTATGTGTCAGTAGTAAGTCGTCCCTGCGTTCTTCAGTCAGAAGAGAGTCAGAAGGTCTATTCGAATTACGTCTGTGTAAATTCCTATCGTGTACGAGATAGATTTTGTGAACAAATTTTATTACTACGAAAAACATGACAATTTTTTCTGCAGTTAATATATCTTTTTCGACTGCGAATCTGCAGTTTTCTTGCTCTGCCAATATCATGTACAACAATGACAGCCATTGCTCCTTCAGCTGACATTACGAAGAGTTCCACGCCAACCTCTTCATACATGGTCGATTTGAGCTCAAATCTGATACCAGGTCATGACTTTATTCTTCCCTGGGGAATTCTTCTCGAACATATTTTGCACCGGATGTATTTTCAAATAAATTTTCGGTGTCCTAAGATAAATTCCGGGTTAGCATAGTTCGGACAAAGTTTGCCTAAATTGTGATAGCTGAACAAATGGTTGAATGCAATTTACAAATATAATATCGACTTTAAGCCTTGCCTTGTTAATAACTGTTAAACATTTCAGAACAAGATTGATAACGTTTGGAAATGTAAAAATGAAATATAGCGATGAGAAATGATGGATCACCTTTTTGTTATAATCGGGAAAATCTAAATTTGGAAAGAATGGTTTGTTGCCAGTTGTTCCCAGGCGACTTTCGCTCATTTCGCACACCGAGTCGGCATACAGCGATAGGTATTGGCCCCTTCCACGATAAAACATCCTATTTGGCGTTTGGACATCGCTAGCAATGCATAGCATTCCGTCGGATTGTGCTCCTTGTGTGCCTGTAGGAACCTTCCTAACTGTGCTTGATAACATTGCTCTAAAACCATAGCTGTGAGAGATAGATAGGCAGGTTATAAAGATATCAAATTGAAGTGAAGCAATCAGTTCAAAGATGATCAGCTTGATTTTCAATATTAAATGCTTCAGGTCTTAAGAAGCTGCTTGGATTTAAGACATGCAATTCTCGCAACCTAAAAGTATTTGGGTATTAACCTAATGAGAACTATGCCACTGCCACAAAGGCAACGCTGTACACGCTTCGATGTATTTTACCGAACGGTTTTAAGTTGAAACTAAGAGCAGCGAATAGTTTCTTAGATTGAATTAAACTTGAAACATTGGCAACTTAAAAATAACTTGTTTTTTTTACTTTAGTATTGGTAAAACACAATGGTGCAATGCTATCAAAATAACAAGGAGGGCTCTTACACAAAATCTTGCGATAAAATAAGTTTTCTTGCGATATCTTGCGATAAAAATAAGAATATAAATTTTCCAATTTTCGGCATCAACAAGAGGGGCTCAGCCCCCTTAGCCCTCTAGCTCTACAACCCTGGTGTAGCATATAAGATAGATAGTACGAATAGTACGAGCCGATAATTTTTTGAAAAAAAGATAAAATTTTTGGAAAACATCAAAACATCTTTTTATGTATTCAGGCATAAGACTCTTTTTAACTTTTCATATCGTCCTACCTTGGATTGTCTCGGCATTTCCTCTTGAGTTGTTGCAAATGGCAGTTGATGTCAAATTTTGTTCCTTTGGCTGAATTCTTCATTGCCCCAAGAGAATTTTTGACCTTAGGCTTTTTTGGTCTGAGCTTTGACGGATGAGGAAGGTCTTGGTGGTCTGGTGTGATACATATGCTTGGTTGGGCGCCATTTGTTCGTTGACTGTTGTTTCCAATGTTACTGTTGCAGCCCTTCAAGATATAGCGAAAAGCGAAATGGATCATATGGCATGTTGATGTGGCACATGTGTTTAAAAGAAAAAATTAGGTCCATTGCATTAGGAGACTAAAATATTTCTTGGAGCACAGCTTTGCTTCGTTGGCTGTCCGTTGTCTCACTTAGATGATCTCTTATGCATTAAACACTTTTTGCTTGAGGGAATGCCAAGTTTTTAAATAAGCGAAGTACAACAGATCTAATCACTTTATCTACTTGAAGTTTTGAAAATATAAGAGGGCCAGGATCTTCCATCTCTAGCAACATGCTAATCGATTCATTAAACACATTCTTGCAATAAAAATAGTTAGCTATAAAGTATTTATATCGATTAAACTCCTCATCTATTGCAACTGAGAAAGTTCTACTTACGAAGTCGATTGCTTGCTCACGGATCATCTGGGAGCTTGGTGTACTGCTGCAAAAAATTGCATTAATAAGGTATGAATTCATAGAATATTGCAATATAAATTAATGCACTTATAAGACATTGTTTTTTAATGGTAATGCATTTAATAAGATATCGCTTTTGAATTTTGTTGTGCATGTAAAATGTTGCATTTATACCGCAATTCTTATGTATTGAGCGTATAAGGTTTAAAGTTGTGTTGGTATGGTTTGAGGCCTACGCCGCCCCTTTTTAGTAGCAAGGAGGGCAGATTGCTTTTCCTATGTCGTCCATTTTTCAGATACCACAGGGACAGGATGCTTTTCCAAAAGTGCCAAAGTAGGGAGAAACACTTTTCTTATAACTGTAAATTTCTAGTCTAGAGTCAGGGATAAGCTATTTACTGAAAGGACAAGCAAGGACTATAATGCTTGTGAGAAGAACAGTCAAATTGGGTCAAATTTGTTTTCGTAGTGCAATTCATTATCATAGCATCTGTACACCCGTGCTAACATTAAGTGCCCAGCAAAATTAGTTCTTTCTAGAATGGTCATTTTTCTGGTAAACCCTCAAAGGTACCACTGTCCTGCCTTGAAGAAAGCAGGGTGAATTGGTAATCAGGGCCACACGACAGTATTCGGTAGAACTGAGAAAAACTGAAAGAAGAGGGCCCCCGTGAGCAAACGACCAGAAAAGTTTTGCAAACAAGCTCTTTTTATTAGTTAAAAATACATTTCAGAATAATTCTTGCAGTCATATTCATGCAATGATCTAAAACTTTTCACTTTTGTTAGGCAACTTTTGCTCCGTTTGATTAATTCCGTTCTTAAAATGAAACTTAGTACTTTATGAGGCCCCTGTAGCGCTAAGACAATTTGCCCCCCCCTGCTCCTGCTCCTCTCTCGGTGACCCTCCTCGTGACAAAGGAAATGCGCCCATGTCAAAACAGAGGAAGCTTTTTCAACCTTTCCTTGTTTGTCATGTTTGACGCATTTCGATAGCAGCAGGCAAATTACCTATTTTCTGATAAACTCTCTGTTTGATCAAAAACATCACCATATGCACTTTCATTGACAATCTCAACTCTTCCAGAGCAGTTTAACTGATCTTGGCATCTCTGGACTTTTCTGGAAACTCTGTCAAAACATTGTTAAAACAGCCACAGAATATTGGAATTAAGAACATATTAAAAGAGACAGAGCACACAAGCTGATGAAACTGTCGATTTTACTTTAGTTTATTTAGGAATCCTTTGCATCGAAGGTAAATTTAATATCTGTCATTGTCGTGCATAAATGCTAAGTATCATACAATAATGTCACAAAAATTTGATAGGGTCTTTAAATACACCAAAGAGTCTAATAGACCAAAGAAATCATAAAGATCTTTAAATTCACTGAATTTTGATGACAAAAAACACATTATGACAAGTGCTTCTAGAAAATACCCTGAAAACATGCTCTTATTAAACATGGCGTGTGATAACTACGTATTTGCTATTTTCATATGTTTTTTTTCAATTGGGGGGGGGGGGTGGAAGGGTCTAAAATTCCACAGCTTTTCAGATAGCTCCTTCTCAAGGATTCCCTACAAAAAATCTCTCAAATTATCCATTTTAGATAATATGTACAATTAAAATTTTGTTTGAATTTCATTTAAAAAATCTTGTTTGGTGGAATTTTATAAAATGGAAAAAACTGAGTTAATAAACTGTAATACGATTTTGTTTAGGAGTACGAGAATTTAAAAACATTAAAAATTGAGATTATCGAGATTAAGTTAATTGAAATCAGGTTAAAAAGGGAACCAGAACGAAAAACTTTCTTATGTTTTCAATGTTTTCATCTTATTGTCCAGCACAGTTAATTCAGTCTAGCAGAGTTAACTAATTCAATCAGAAAAACTGATAGGAATGCTTTTTGTAGAATTATTTGGATTCGCCTCGTAAATCCGTTTCCTCTTTGTTACTTGTCTTTGGTTAGCAAAGAGTTTAAACAAAGAATCGGGTAATGTTTCTAAAATTTCGATTGAATAACGAATACCTCAAAAACGGTAAAGAATTCTTCCACGGGGATCTATTGCCAATGCCGCTTTTCCTTGAAGAGGAAACATCAAGTGAACTCTCTCCTGTTGATTCTCGCTCTCTTGATTTCTGAAGGAGGTCTTGTTTGGCCAGGGCACAGATCTTTTCAAGTTCTGAATGATGATTGTGTGAATGCCTCTCATCAAACACACATCCATCTCCAAATGGGGTATTTTCAACACGATACAATGATCTTTTCAACATATTTTTACAATTTGCAACATCGGCTTTCTGTTTAGGATCACGTCAGCAGCCAAATTTTCCCGCCTTTAAAGCTTCGTTCCCAGACCCTTGGAACGTTTTTTATTTAAAGCGTATTTAAGGATAAAAATGTTCCTTTTTGCCCTAGGCAGCCCTAGGCATGACATAGAAACTGCATCCGTTGGCAAGGCTCTAGTTTGGGAAATCAATAGTTCTGGAGATAAGTGGAGATAACCGCTGAATTGCCACTGCTCCTAGGCCCTTTCTGACCCGGAGTACACTTAGTGAGCAAAAGTATTGCACAGGTTTGACAATTCAGTAATGGCGACCGCGTTGTCAACAGCAATGCGATCGAAATTCAAACCACTTTTGTGAAGCATTAGACGTCTTTTTATGGCTAAAATCTAATCACACCAAACTTCAGACCATTGACAACACTTTTTGCTTAAAAATTGAAGAAAGTAACTTTTTAAGAAATAAATAATTTTAACTTTTTATTGGACAGTCTACCAGCTTTGAAACCTTTGTGAAACTTGCTAAACTTTATCGAAAAGTTTAGTAACAGGTTCTGTTAATCGCGACATGATAAGTTCAGAAAAACATTTGCAAGATCACATTTAGGTGCTGAAGTACCAAGTTGATCATAAATGGCCTTGTATTTGATGGAAAGTGGCATGTTTTAAACCATTTTATTATGTTCACTCTTTTACAGCTATGACCCCCCGGTGGCGCGGGCCCTGCAAGGGCTGGTGTACCAATGAAATTATGCAAAAAAGGCACTTTAGAGAGGATGCAGCCCTCTTTTGTATTCTTGTAAGGGTGCAGCTGTGAGATGATGTAAAGATGTCCTTCATATAACATTTACAAGTTTTTGAAGACTGCTCTAAGGTCCTTAATAGAAGGGGGACGCTTATTAATTTTTCGATTTTTTTCTGACCCCACCGGAGCTTATTTGGACCCACCCCGCTTATAAATTTTTATATTCAACACGCTGAACTGGAAACTGCACGCTGAACTGGAAAAACTCAAAACGATCTTCTTGGACAACGGCTATCCTGAAGACGTCATTTTATCTGATACTAAGGAGAAGATCGCAAGTTTTTCGGCTGTTCAAAAGTTTGGTCCGCAAAAGTGCCCAGTTTATTTGAAACTACCATGGATTGGTAACACTTCCTTGCGATTCGAGAGTCAAATTAGGCAAGCCATAACCAATTGTTTCTTTGCTGTCAATCCTCGGATTGTTTACAGCACTAGGAGAGCCCTTCCATCCATTCAAAAGGATTGCGTCCCTACCAAACAAAAAAGTTCCGTCATTTATGAATTTACGTGCCAGTGTGATTCTGGCTACGTAGGGCGCACAACCCAAAGATTGGGGATAGGATAAAACAGCATGTTCCTTCCAACATACGAAACAAAACTGCCCCTCAAAGAGAACAGCCTCCTCGATCTTGTAGGTCTAGAAACACTGTTAAAACAAGTGATTCTGCCATTGGTCAACATCTTTTAGACAACCCAGATTGTGCAAAACTCTATAATGACGACATGTTCCGGATAATTGGCAGAGCCCGGTCGTCCTTCCATCTAGCAGTTTTGGAGTCAATCTACATAAAAACGAAAAAGCCGCTATTGTGTAGACAAAAGGAGTTCGTTTTCTCTCTTGGACTCCATTGGTAATTTTTCTTTAGGCTCGCGGCACTGATTGGTCAACTATACCGGTCTTGTGCTTGCGTTTTTCTGATTGGCCTATTTCGATCCACAACTGGGTATATATTTTTCAAACGTGTTTTTTCGGAACCTTATTCTGACGTTTTATGCTCTGAGGAGTGTCAGACGAAAAAGCTTTAAGTATCTTGTAAAATGTTTGCTTTTTTCAAAGCCATTTTCAAATTCTGTACCGCAAAAAAATTGTTCAAAATAACTACAATTGTAAACTTTTTTGGCACTCAGGTACTTTATATATGTATTATAAAGGCTTGAAGATCGATGAGAAGCTCACGTCCACTGATGTTCACTGCTACGGCCGTGTAAAAGCTGACGCAATTCGTCAACGATTAAAAGGGCGGGAAAATTAAAATGCATCATTTACGAAAAATTACTTTGCTGTGTAAAATATTAAATTTTCTTACATTTTATTTGATCGGGGATCCTTTTGAATCTTTTTCAACCAACCAGATATCTTTTTACCTAGAAAAGGTGATTGGATTAAATGGGCACTTATTAACCTTTTTTGAGTGTTTTCCTAGCAGAGATTTGTTGCAACCGGGCAGATAGGAACGACAGAAAATGGCATGTTCTCTACCTTACAGGCTTTAAAAGGACCTTTGGAGCATTTCAATTGAGTGTTCTGCTGACAAACTTTTGCTATTTACTGCTATCTATGTTACAGGAGGGATTTTTAAAAATTTGAATCCTCCTGCGCAGCGATTATTTTACCAGTCGAAAATGGTTGAGAACACCTGAATACATCAATAAACCTGAATACATTTTACCCAGTATAATCCCAGAAAGGGATCTTTTTAATTCTATAATCCCAGAAAGGGATTTTTTAATTCTAAGAATTTTTTACTTACAATCACTATTTTTTGATATTATTGATCAATGAATATTGGTGCATTCAAAACAAGTGACTGTAAGTTGAATGAAAGACAGAATAATAATGGAATAAATCTTGCATAATTTTCCATGAAAGACGACGGAAATATCATAAAAGCACACTTAAAAATAAACATTTTCGAAACTTCCATTTTTAAAATATTCAATTAAAAAGTCCATAATGGGCATCATAGTTAACATTTATCGTTGGTCGGTCTTTCTCTCTACGAACTTAACCCGGATTGGTTTGTCCGGAATGTTCACACTTCGGAAATAGTTATCAACGACATGCCCAGGCGGTATTTCCAATGTGTACCGGTTCAATATCTTGATAAGCAGTATCTGAAGCTCAAGTTCCGATAAGCGACGACCAAGACACATGCGGACCCCATGCCCGAACGGTATCGAAGCATAAGCGGAATGTTTTGTGGCAGCTTCCGTCCGTAGCCATCGTTCTGGCACAAATTCTTGTGCATTCTCAAAAAGATCCTCACTGCGGCCCATAACATGGTGCATAAGAAAAATCCGAGTGTTTGCAGGTACGTGGTATCCGGACAAAACGACATCGTGCTCGAGAGTTCGGGCAGTAATAATAAGGACCGGGTAGAGACGTAATGTCTCCTTCACAGCAGCTTTCACCAAGCTCAGCTGTTGAAGTGACTCAGCGGTTGGCTCTTGTCCTTGCGGCAGAACTCTTGAAATCTCTTCTCTGATACGAGATTGCGCGTGCGGGTTTTTAGCAATCAAGTACAGCATCCACTGCATCGTGTTGGACGTCGTGTCTACCCCTGCAAACAACGTGTCCACTATACTCGACCCAACCTCGTCCTCTGATATCCTATCAGAAGACAGCAGAAATGGTATGAGTTCGTTCCTAGTATCGATATCTTCTCCACGCTCCCTTCGCTTGGCAATGTCTGTCAGCTTCTCTTCGATAAGTTCCTCTGCAAATTTATACAATAGCATAAAATTGTGATCAAAATCCTTGAATGCCTTCGTTTTGTAATATTTATATAAACCAGGAGGCATAAGATAGGCAGATGAAAAAGAATCAAGGAAACGACCAACTGCCTTGATGAAATTCGTAGCCCTTTCTGGCGGACTGTCGCTTAGCGCATAAAAACGACGATCAAACAGAAATTCTGCCACCGTTTCAAACGACCATTTGAAAAGCTCCATATCAATTTCATCAACTTCAAATGTTTCACTGTCCCTTACTTTTGAAATACGCTCAACCATTTCTGAAGCAATGCAGTTTATTCTTGGAATATACTGGTTTACTTCCAATGGACGCAACATCTTTTTGGACAGCAATATTCTGGGCTTATGCCACTTGTCGCCGTTGAGAAAGAAAACACCGGGCTCTTTAGATCTGCGAGCGTAAAAGTCATCGAGAAGCGGGATATCGAATCTTCTTGGATATTTTGAGTCGGCTCGGAAGACGGTGGCCACGTCTTGGGGATCAAACAGCCAGACTTCATCGCCTTGTGGACTGGCTCTTCTTGCAATTGAACCATAGTCTCTGAAAGGAGAAATTTAGCGAGACTTTAAAGACAGCTCCTTTGCGTAATATTTCCTCTTATTATTAGCGTAATATTAACTTTGGGGAATTTGTTTAAAATCTCTCGATTTTGGCATTTCTTCAGCCTGAAATACACGATCAGCTTTTAACTGCCAGTTTTTAGTTTTAAGTCAAAAACTGATGCATTATTGACCGTCAGTTTATGACTGAAGAAGCTGAACATGTCCAACTTTTTCAGTTTTTAACTGAAGAGATTTTATTCCTGTAGACTCTATTGTTTTAAGCTGGCATCATACCCTCTAATGCCTCTAATTCGCTGGCATCACTCTGATACCCTCTAATACCCTAATACCCTCTAATGCCTCTAATTAGCTGGCATCGCTCTAATACCCTCTAATACCCTAATACCCTCTAATGCCTCTAATTCGCTGGCATCACTCTGATACCCTCTAATACCCTAATACCCTTTAATGCCTCTAATTCGCTGGCATCACTCGAATACCCTCTAATACCCTAATACCCTCTAATGCCTCTAATTCGCTGGCATCACTCTAATACCCTCTAATACCTCTAATTCGCTGGCATCACTCTGATACCCTCTAATACCCTAATACCCTTTAATGCCTCTAATTCGCTGGCATCACTCTGATACCCTCTAATACCCTAATACCCTCTAATGCCTCTAATTCGCTGGCATCACTCTAATACCCTCTAATACCCTAATACCCTCTAATGCCTCTAATTCGCTGGCATCACTCTGATACCCTCTAATACCCTAATACCCTTTAATGCCTCTAATTCGCTGGCATCACTCTAATACCCTCTAATACCTCTAATTCGCTGGCATCACTGTAATACCCTAGCACATGATGCAAATTTATTTCAGTGCAGCGTTGATTTCAAAATGAGAAAAAGTAACAAACACAAATGAATTTATATATGCTTGAAAGTAAGGAAAATCTTTGTGAAATGTAAGGTCAGACTCAAAGTAGTTTCGAAATGCGAATAATTTGAAAACGATATCTTTTTCCTGTTTCGGTATTTTCCCATTTTCTTGACGACCAAAGCTGCAGCAATCATTTTCGACCAAACCAAGTAACTTTCGGTTCCAAGAGCCTTAAAGCCATAGGACCTCAGATCTGGAACTGTCTGCCAAATGAACTAAAATCAGCTGACAATCTTAACAGCTTCAAACGTATGATAACACAATGGGATGGTCCTAGCTGTAAATGCAACGTTTGCAAATATAATGATATCGATATCCTGTAATATTTGTCCATTCATATCCAAGTTGCTTCAAATATTTAGCTTATGTATGTACGTATTTATTTCCTTAGTTATATCCTCTTCATTTGTTATACAGTAGATTCGATTTAGATTAGTTGTATGTGTATATATCCATATATATATATGTTTAGCTAGAAAAAATATCGAATTAAAATAAGGTTACAAACAAACAAACAAACAAACAAACAAACAAACAAACAAACAAACAAACAAACAAACAAACAAACAAACAAACAAACAAACAAACAATCAAGCAAAAATAACCACAGTTCGTTCACGACCAAGCTCTATATCAAAATAGAGTGGAAAAGTGAAGACAACTGAAAATGTACGAGGGACATTAGTTTTGAGAGACTGAAAGTTGTCAAAAACTTATATAACCTGTTCGTGTATGGAGGACATCCGTTTTTGAAAAACTGAAAACTGCCAGGCCAAAAACTGATGAAAAATGATCGTGTCATTCAGGCTTTACATTTGATGCAAAGAACTTTACGTTTATATTTGTTACGTTTATGGGTCCAGGCAGAGAGACACGTAGAATGGTTGAGACACTTGTATTCTGCAAATTTGATTCTGATCAAGAACTGAACTACGGAAAGAAAGAAAATGGTCTCTTTACATCTGAGCAATCAAGCTTTTTGCGGCTACATTCCACACTAACTTGCTTGCTTAAAATGATTGATGACTGGTACAACGGGCTCGATTTCGGTAAGGTCGTGGGATTGGTATTCATTGACCTGAAAAAGGCATTTGATACGGTCGACCATGATATTCTCTGTGTAAAGCTCGAACTTTATGGGGTTCAGCAGCGAGAGCTGTCTTGGTTTAAGTCTCACTTATCCAGCCGCAAACAATTCTGTAGGGTTAATGGTGTTGATTCAAATATCAGGGAAATAGAAGCAGGTGTCCCACAGGGTTCATGCCTTGGCCCTCTTCTATTCCTCATTTATATCCAAGATTCCTCCGTGACTATGTTTGCTGATTATAACTGTCGTTTTCACAAGTCTCGCGATTTTGCTCAGCTGAATGAGGCTATGAATAGCGATCTCAAGAAAATGGAGATTTGGTTGAGAGGCAATAAGCTTTCATTGAATGTGGCAAAAACTCATTTAATGGTCATATCCTCCAGGCAGAAAGGCAGCTCTCTTAGAAGTCGAAATGAAGCCTTGGAACTGAAGATACGCGACAATGAGCTCGAAGTAGTTCAAAAGACAAAGCACCTTGGATCATTATTATTTCATGATAATTAAGGCAGTTCCCAGAGCGATCGGCTTTTTAAGACATGCTAAATCCTTTCTGCCTATGGCAAGACCATTGAAGAGCTCACTGGCAATGAGACTAACACAATGGTCTTCAAGTCGCTCTATGATTTGGCTCCTCAATACTTGTGTAACCTCTTCACCAAAAACTCAGCATGCTCCTCCGGCAGCCATTTAAAGGGGCTGTGTTACGGTTTTGTAAACAAACAGAATACGCAGGACATTGTACGTTTTTGGCCTGACTTGCACATTGGGGTAATGGCGGATGGTTCTCCAATGCACCGATAAATCCGATAAATTGTATTTTTTGAGCGTATCTACCAAACATGGAATGAAAAAATACTATATTTCTGCATATGTACCGACTATCAAGACAAAAAGTGTATGTTAATTTGGTGTAAACAAGAGCACATTTTGTTCTAGACCAATCAGCGGGTTTGTTTACAAAATGTCATTAGCCAATCATCTGCCTGCATTTCGAGCTTGATTTTTCAATATTTCAAACCAAAACACAGTTGCTGTGGAGTAAAACCTACTACCATACTTTTGCCCGGGAAAATACGTTGAAAATACGGAATTTACGTTGTTCTACGAAGGAGGTTTTTCAAACTTACTTTCTAGAGTAATTTTTTGGTACGAATCTAGGATCCCTAAGCAGGAAAACAAACGGTTTGTAAAACATCTGGAGTGAAACATAACGTATTTTCACCTCGGCCTTTCCGCCAAAGCTGCCCATCCCCTAATCTACTCCTTATCGAGCTTTCGTTAATTAAACAAGGAAACATTTTAAGATTTAAGTTACCAGATATTTTGTGCAAACAAATCTCCCAGGCATCACCTGAGAATATTGTATTTTCTATAAAAACTTGGCTTTAAATTGCCTATTCCCTCCTCTACATTACCGCACGGGATGCCTAGGCCCTTTCTGAACCTTCACCGCTTTTGACCCACGAGGGGAAGAATGTCTTTACCTGTAAAAGGAATATTCTTTAGATTTAAGCTATCAAGCATTTTTTGAAATATGGCTCTTTGCCCTAAGCTGGGAAAACTTAAAATTTTAGAAAAAGCACATTAAATATACCTGCCGTACACTAGGTGAGCCAAAGTCTTGTACTACTGTATGTACACAAAAAACCGGCAGTTTTGACGTCAAATGTTTTTAACTAACCAAGTTAGAAAGGCTGTGACAAGTTGTATAAGAGTTCATGACTGTTTAGATGGGGAATAATGAAAGATCTACATAGGTAGAGTAACAAATATATGAAAGTTTTCTATTTATAACCATTAAAAAAAGAGATATGTTCCAACAGAATTCAATTGATATAGAATTTATCAAAAGCCTCCAAGTCCATCTTTTTCGATTCATTGCGATTCTTTTTCAATCCAGTGTACAGAATACTAATGCTAATTTTATCTCCTTGAATGCATGAACTCTTTCGAACAAAACTAAATTCAGGCTGGCGATAACGACTCTTTAATTCAGTTAAAATAATCTGTTGAGAAACCCTTCCAAAATGAACCAAGTCGTCCAAATGTTGCAAATTTCTGGTCTTTTCATCTGTTATTATTATTTTCGTTAAAATAAGAAACCCTTGCGCAAATCAACCGATTTCAAATCAACGAAGAACAGGAATGTCAGGTGACTAGGACTCAGTTCAAATGGGCCAATAAAACAAAGCATTTTATAACAAATTCCTTCTTGAGACACAAATAGTTTGAGTAAAGAGAAAGTGTTTCTTTCAGTTGGGAAAAATATTTGCATGTAGATGCCACGGATCGATTAAAAACAAGCACAGTATTTGGAATCATCTTAGCAGTTCTGAAACGCTTTTGCAAAGCAGAACTAGGTACCTATCATTTAGAAAATGGTCATAAAGCCACGTAACTTAATTACAGAGGCAAGTCTTGCTGAAGTCGATCGGTACGAAGATAAATTATAATTTTTTAATATTTGCCTTTTTTAATTCTTTATTTTTGCCTTGCAAAATCTACCGACAGCTCTTTAAAATTCAATTTTCTTTGAATATTTGCTGCAATTCTGCGTAATGATGCAAACCTGTTTTGATGCAAATCGGTCATGCAGGAACGTTCGGCCTTTAGTGTCGTGAGGATTGTTGCTCTTTCAAAAATTTTTACGCTTCTTTTTTTTGAAACTTTTTTGCATAAGTTGAAAAGTAGTGTTTGTGCATCCAGTGTTGTTAGCCATTTGATGATTGTTCTTTCCATCATTGTGATAAACGATAATTTCTAGCTGCTGTTGTAAGTCAATTTTCGTTTCCTTCGCTACCAGCTCGACAAAAACTCTCACAACATTTACTTGCACATCGATAAAATAAATGTATTTGACAAATAAATTTCAAAGGCCAAAGAAACTTAAAGGAAAAATTCAAGCAAATTTAGGAAAAAGGCTTCCCTATAATATGGCTTTGAAAGTTGTAAACAGATTTATTTAACAGCAGATTTGCAACTTCAAATCTGTAAATTGTGAATCCGAAACTTTCCGGATACATTCGTGAGAGGAGTGGATTCAGAATATACGCTTGCAACAAAAATCAAGGCCAATATGATCATATTGGTTTTCCAACAACTAAATGGGATTTTGCAAAAATATTTGCAAAAATTCGAAATTCATAATGCCTTGTTCAGAACACCTTTTAGCAAGTCTCATCAAGGTTTAAAGGCTCAAAGACTGTCCAAAAAGTGGGTCTTTTATACTTTTTAAAAAGTGAATTTTTCTTAGATATTAAATTTCAACCATTGCCAATATTTTGGTCTTTTTTGGTTTCGAACTATAGACTGATGGCTTCACAAAAGTGGTCTGAATTTCATTGACTGTGATGCTCAGGAAGGAGGTTTAGAAAGGGCCTAGGCATCCCATGCGGTAGTATAAGGGAGGGAAAAGGCAATTATAACGCCTAATATTTTTCAAAAATACAATATTCCCAGGTAATGGCTGGGTGATTTATTTGCGCAAAACATCTGGTAACTTAAATCTTAAAATGTTTTCTTGTTAATTACCGAAAGCTTCACAGGGAGAAAATTAGGGGGTGGGCATTTTTGGCGGTAGGGCCGGAGTGGAAAATACGTTATGTTTCACTCCAGATATTTTACAAACCGTTTGTTTTCCTGCTTAGGGCTCCTAGATTCGTACCAAAAAATTACTCTAGAAAGTAAGTTTGAAAAATCTCCTTCGTAGAAAAACGTAAATTTTTTCCCGGGCAAAAGTATAGAGGTAGGTTTTTCTCCACAGCAACTCTGTTTTGGTTTGAAATATTGAAAAATCAAGCTCGAAATGGAGGCAGGTGATTGGCTAATGAAATTTTGTAAACAAACCCGCTGATTGGTCTAGAACAAAATGTGCTCTTGTTGGATTTTGCACTTTCGAAAAATGCCCCTATTTTCGACGCAAAATAAAATCATAACAAAGTGCAAAACCCTGCAGCCTATAAAAAAACTGTGTAGCAGGTATCGAGAAAGAGAATTAACGGCCGTTTGGGCAAAAAACCGGAGATTTAAAAAAGGTATTAAAGGAAAACTGCGGTTTTGGGAAATTCGAGATTTTCCCAACATTCGGGGTGCTAAAATGGTCTTGCAACACTCTTAACCTCTTGCAAACTATAAAAACAGTGTAGCAAACTATGTTATATCGATTAAAGTTTAAATGGTATTCTTACCATTTTTCTGCGAAAAGATATTAAAGGAAAACCGGAGGGCAATTTTCACAAATTGCACATTTTTGTTTAAGTTTCCGAGAATTTCATACAAACTGGAATTTTTATTTAACTGTGAAAATATGAGAAACAGTAAAACTATGGTATTTTTTATGTTGAAAAATCAAATCAGTTCTACAGATTTAGTTAGCCAAAAGTTATTAAAGGAAAACTGGAAGGTAGTTTGCGTGCGAATCGTCAGATCGAATCGTCAGGCCTAATATAAATGAATAGTCCGACAATATCAATCTTAAAAAGACGGCAAAGAAATTACTGCATGCCTTACCTTTCTTGTATCTTATAGACAGATTTGTGGAAACCTCCTTTGGTGAGAAATATTTCCAAAATGTTCAGGACCCAGCTCTTACTGCCTGCGTAAGGAATACTCGAAAAAGGTTTTGCGTCGCGAAACTTGTCGGCTAATTTTGGGTCAGCATCAATGGTGGCCTGGCTTGACACAGATCGACATGCAACATTCCCAAGGCCATTTCTGAAGCACGTACCAATGTTCCTATGAATAGAAATACGCGAATATCCCTTTAATGCCGTGATGTGATTCATTGCTGCTGTCTTAGGCCAGAAATTCAAAGGTCTTAAACTGCATGATTGCTCGATGGAAAGGCAGCTCTCGGGATTCTTCTGCGTCTAGTTTTGCATAAGTGGAGACAAGGCAAGTGTTGATAAGCAGGGTCCTCTGACAAAGGCTTTTGGATCATGGCCCTTCCACATTCTCACAAAACAGTAGAGTGATAAATCTTGTTACGAGTGATAAATTTTCCCATGCGCACTCCCCTCACATTGCAACCTTTGTCGGAGCCCATAAGTGGAGACAACATGGATGGCTGCTGAAAACGCAGAGATGGCTGAATACTTTAAGAATAAGGCATTGTTTTGTTCCAACGTTTGTGAGATTGTGGTTGCGACAGTGGCGATGCAAGCTGGAGATCCTTTATTTTCTTAATCGATATTGTTTTCTTTAGTGTTTCAAAGAAAGAAACTTTAAAAGGCTGCGAAAGAAGGCGAAAAATATCAAAGGTTCTTGAGAATGTTTTGAAAATATGTCGATGAGCTCTTGTAACTTGTTGAATTTGATATTTAAAAAATTAACACAAGTCTATGAGAGGCAATACCAGCAAAGATAAAATTCTCAACAAGGCTCGTTAGTTTTGTTTGTCTTGCATCTCTATTGCGATACAGAGGCAATCTGGTGTCCCAAAAACAGATTCCCTCTCTTTACAAATATATCAACTGTATGTTTTTTTAATTCTTTGACTCTTTGCAGCAATTAATAAGCATTTCAAAAAGCAACGTGGTAAAAAAAAACCTGGCTGATGGAGAGAAGCCCTTGAAGTGCAGTGCCCGTCATAAAAGAGTTCGAAGAATACAATAGCAAAAAGTTGGATGAAAATTGAACACATCCAACTTTTTAAAAGGATTTTTCACTTTGTCGAAACAGCTATTTTGACATCAAATTTTGCGTTTACACTGTCTATTTTTCCAGCATCCATTTAATCGAATCCATTTAAATGCCCAGTGTTTTTGAGCCTTTAAACGCTGACGGAAATTCCCGCCATTGGGACACGTTGTGGCTTTCTAGTTTAGTTCGTAAAATTGTGGATGTTTTGGTTAGGCCGCTTATTCAAGTATGAATTACAACATGGTGTCAGGTGTGTTTTGGATACGAAGATACGATTGTTGAGTCATTAAACACGAAAGTTGCTGGAGACTAGTATCGGAAAACAAAATGGCGGAAAGAGAGTCTTTTAGCAAACCGGGGCCACTGGTTTTTGATGCCTATGCAGTTGATAACTGGCGGAAATTTCGTATGAGTCTATCCCCACAGTTATCCACCCTCCGAGGAAAATCCTTGTTGCACTTCTAGAACCTACAAAGCAGAAGCTTTGCTTGAAATGGAGATTGATGGGATAATTGTCAAGGAGGATGAACACACCCATTGGGTTTCCTCCATGGTTGTTGTCGACAAACGTAAAGAAACAAATCGTGATAGCCCTCCCACTAAGGACAGTACACGACGGATCTGTATTGATCCAAGAGAATTGAACAGAGCTCTCAAAAGATCACATTACCCGATGGTTACCGTTGAACAGGTAGCTGAACGTCTGGCTGGGGATACAACTTTTACTACACTGGACGCTAGTAGTGGTTACTGGCAATTACCTGTGGATGAAGAAAGCTCAAAGTTGTTGACATTCAATACTCCTTGGGGCCGACATAGATTTACCTGACTCCCGTTTGGTATCTCATCAGCCCCAGAGTTGTACCAGCGTAAAATGGACAGGTTATTTGCTAATGTACCAGTTGAAATTATTGTGGACGATATTCTCATTCATGGAAAGGATGGCAGTGATATCAAAGAGAAAATGATTGCAGTACTTGACAGGAGCAGAAAAGTGGGACTGAAATTTAATCCACTAAAGGTGAATTTACTTGTTCAACAAGTGACTTATGCTGGTCATTTTTTCACATCCGAGGGACTCAAACCAGACCCAGAGAAAGTGCGAGCAATTAAAGACATGCCACCACCATCAGACAAGTGTTAGGGAGTATAGTTATTGCCTTCATCTACCCCCGGTATTCGCCTTAAGAACGTTACGTCATATCCGCCCTTGTATATAATTCTGTTTTGTTGTGTTTTGGTTATTCTGCGATAGATCTCATACAAGTAACCACTAGAAGTATTCTCTTATTGAGTTTCGACGCTGGCTACAATGACACAATTGTAAAACACACAATTCGACAGATGTGCCTTCCAACATGAAATCACATGGACACGATCAGTTCTCTACCTTACAGGCTTTAAAAGGACCTTTGGAGCATTTCAATCGAGTGTTCTGCTGCCCAACTTTTGCTATTTACTGCTATCTATGTTACAGGAGGGATTTTTAAAAATTTGAATCCTCCTGCGCAGCGATTATTTTACCAGTCGATAATTGTTGAGAACACCTGAATACATCAATAAACCTGAATACATTTTACCCAGTATAATCCCAGAAAGGGATTTTTTAATTCTAAGAATATTTCACTTACAATCACTATTTTTTGATATTATCGATCAATGAATATTAATACATTTCGCGATTTAAGCGATTGTAAGTTAATGGAATAAATAATGCATATTTTATCAAAGACGATAAAAATATAATAAAAACAATTTAATAATACAAATTTTCGAAACTTCTAATCTATCAAACTTCCGATATAAAAAGTGCATAATGGGCAGCGTATAATCTATCGTTGGTCGATCTTTCTCTCAACAAACTTAACCCGGATTGGTTTGTCCGGAATGTTCACACCTCGGAAATAGTTATCAACGACATGCCCAGGCGGTATTTCCAATGTGTACCGGTTCAATATCTTGATAAGCAGTATCTGAAGCTCAAATTCCGATAAGCGACGACCGAGACACATGCGGACCCCATGCCCGAACGGTATCGAAGCATAAGCGGAATGTTTTGTAGCAGACTCCGTCCTGAGCCATCTTTCCGGGACAAATTCTTTTGCATTCTCAAAAAGATCCTCACTGCGGCCTATAGCATGGTGCATAAGAAAGAGCTGATTGTTTGCAGGTACGTGGTATCCGGACAAAATGACATCGTGCTCGAGAATTCGGCTTGTTAAAATAAGGACCGGGTACAGACGTAATGTCTCTTTCACAGCAGCTTTCACAAAGCTCAGCTGTTGAAGAGTCTCTGAAGTTGGCTCTTGTCCTTGCGGCAGAACTCTTGAAATCTCTTCTCTGATACGAGATTGCGCGTGCGGGTTTTTAGCAATCAAGTACAGCATCCACTGCATCGTGTTGGACGTCGTGTCTACGCCTGCAAACAACGTGTCCACTATGCTCGACCCAACCTCGTCCTCTGATATCCTATCAGAAGACAGCAGAAATGGTATGAGTTCGTTCCTAGTATCGATATCTTCACCACGTTCCCTTCGCTTGGCAATGTCTGATAACTTCTCTTCGATAAGTTCCTCTGCAAATTTATACAATAGCATAAAATTGTGATCAAAATCCTTGAATGCCTTCGTTTTGTAATATTTATATAAACCAGGAGGCATAAGAGAGGCAGCTGAAACGGAATCAAGGAAGAGACCAATTGCCTTGATGAAATTCGTAGCCTTTTCAGGCGGACTGTCGCTTAGCGCATAAAATCGACGATCAAACAGAAAATCCGCCACCGTTTCAAACGACCATTTGAAGAGCTCCATATCAATTTCATCAACTTCAAAGGTATTGCTGTCCCTTACTTTTGAAATACGCTCAACCATTTCTGAAGCAATGCAGTTTATTCTTGGAATATACTGGCTGACTTCCAATGGGCGCAGCATCTTCTTGGACATTAGCAATTTGTGCTTGTGCCACTTTTCACCGTTGAGAAAGAAAACACCGGGCTCTTTAGATCTGCGAGCGTAAAAGTCATCGAGAAGCGGGACATCGAATCTTTTTGGATATTTTGGTTCGGCTCGGAAGACGGTGGCCACGTCTTGAGGATCAAACAGCCAGACTTCACCGCCTTGTGGGCTGGCTCTCTTCACGATGGGACCATAGTTTCTGAAAGGAAAAATTTAGCGAGACTATTAAGACAGCTCATTTGCGTAAGATTTTATATTAAGTTTAATGCAAAAAACCTTACTATTCCGTTAAATTCAAGCTAGAAGCTTAGAAAACCCTTGAAGACTGGTTGAATCTTGCTGTAACAAATGCACATTTCTATCTAAAATATTGTGTTTTAGGAAAAATACACATGAAGTGTGTACCTCTCTAGAAACAAAGACACATTGTTGACGATGGGGGCTAAAAAACCAATCCAGCCAAACGTCAAACCATTTTTTTTTCAAATATCGAAAAAAATTAATTTTTTAAAAGTGAAAACTTTAACTTTTTATTGGACAGTCTATCGTCTATCAGCTGTGAAACCTTTGTGAGACTTGGTTGAGCTTTATCAAAGAGTTTAGTAACAGGTTCTTTTAGTCACGACGACTTGATAAATTCAAAAAAACATTTGAAAGGTTACATTTTGCTGTTGGGGTGACAAGTGTATCATTTTGGTGGATACTGAAAGCCGTCTTATCGTGCTGACTCCTTCACAGTTATTGAGGCACGCGAGGGTGCCTGTTAATCGCGGGAAATTTCTTTTTTCATTCAACAAGAAGACGAAGTGTTGTTTTGAGCGATTCGCAGCATTATTTGTTCTCTTACCAACATCGCAATTGGTTGGAAAGGATGGACTTGACGTTTTGTGACACATTTTATTGATTGTCTTATGTTGCAATATATCACGAAGCGGGCGCTGCCATTAGGCCTTTTGCAGCAACAAAAAAATCTGACCCAACGTTTAGCATCTTCTTCAACTAAACAACATTGAGGAAAATGACAGTACTAGAAGCCCAAGCGTAAAGTAAGTATCCCTGAGTTCATTTTAATAAGATATCACAAATTTGTGTAAAGAGTATATACTAATGGTTGTGTAAAGTGTATGTATAAGCCAACATTTTTTTGTATAAGATGTTGATTTAGACAGCTTTCACCTCAAAAACACGATATAATACACAATATGACACTGCAAAGTTGGAATACAAAGAGGTGTTTTATAAAACGAGCCAACTTTCAACATAACTGGAAAATTAAATGTTGGGAACCTGCACTCAACAGTTACGTAATTGCTGCGTTTGTAAGTAAACTAATGACCTTCGTAATTAGTAGCTAGTGTAGGACGCGTTGTTAGAGTAGATTGCTTGCTGCTCTATTGTCAGCTAATTAGAAGCTTCTAGAAAGTTCTAATGATCGCCGAGGTAGAACTTTTTAGCACGCGTCACGTAGAGTTTAGATAGTTGCATGTTTCGCAATGAACAAGTCGCTAGAATCTCAAAACAACATTAAATTCTTCTATTTTCACTGATAGTAGCAAGACAAAGGTGTTGAGCCTTAAATGATGCTCATTGAGACACAGAAAGATCTAAAATGATTAATAAACGGAGGAGAGGGTCCCTTCTATCTTCGACATAGGAGTAGGCCTTCACTTTTCGGTATAACGAACTTGACGTCTGCTCCCTTGAACTCTGCCTAATAAAGTCCTTAAAAATTCTCTTGGTATAACGAACCTTAGATATAACGAACTGTCGTTAATGCTAACAATGAGGTCCCTTTATCATAATTACCCTTGATATAACAAACATTTCAAAAAAATTTCATCTGTTATTTTGATTTATTTCTTTCCGGTGTTCTGAATTGTCATCAGTAAAACAAACATCGGGAAACGTGCACTGTTTATGATGCTAGAATGAGATGAATTGCGTGCATACGGTAAAACACCTTTTCAAGGCTTTATGACAATTCAGTGAAAAAAGCCAGCACACAGAAAGCAAATTTGTAATATGCAATAAACAAGATTTACATTTTTTACCTTCATAAAATGCATGGTTTCAAAATGCCTATAACTCTTGTAGGCCTATAACCTGTATGTTCGGATACTTTTGTCCAACATAAAGGTAATGGGAAGGACCATTTTGAAAGGTGAAATTGTGATGATGACCATTAGTAAATTTTGAATTTAGCTTGTTTGTTTTGAGTAAAATTTGCACAGATGCTGGGGGTAAGCCTAAACAACCCTACTGAAGGGTTTTCGATGCCTGAATTGCAAAAAGAACTCAAAAAATTTTCTCCCACTTTAACGATCTCCCGATATAACGAACAATTCTCTGGTTCACTTCAAAGTTCGTTAGATCGGGATTCCACTGTAACTGCAAAACCTCTCAGTTGCCACCTGGCACTTGACACCTTCTACTTAATGACACGAAAATTTTTATTCGCCCCCATCACGTAATCGAGTATGCTGATCACGAAAATCACCATAAAATTTTCGAAAAACAAACACTTTCGTAATTACAGCTGTTTCAAGGTCGATTTTTGCTTCAAATTCTGTCACAAGGGATTGGGTCGAGTTTGACAGGAAGTGATGTGGTTGTGTTAGTGAAAATCTTACGGTGGCCCACAGGTGCCACGGCAAAACTTTCTTTCTCACGGCAAAACTTACTTTCTTACGGCAAAACTTACTTTCTCACGGCAAAACTTACTTTCTCACGGCAAAACTTTCTTTTTTCACGGCAAAACTTTATTTCTCACGGCAAAATTTTATTTCTCACGGCAAAACTTTCTTTGAATTTAATTTATAACTTAAATTTAATTTATTTTGAAAATTTTATCTCGTGACATTGGATTCTCGTCGTCGTATTGCTTTGTTCCTATTGCTTTCTAACATAGGCGTAGAAGACAAGGGTCTGGGGAGATAAGGGGGCTGCAGCTGCAGCTGTAGTTTCTCAACACTGAAAAGTTTCCAAAAAAGCGATAATCAGGCAGAAATCTACCATGATTCAGTCAGGCAAAATTTTCATAAACAATGGATGTTGTTTGTTGGGCAACCACTTCGATTTTTTTCTCCCCTTATACACTAGGGTATCAAAAGTATTGCACCACCTCGAAGGAGGAGAAATGGCGCATGAATGATCGAAAGCTATTGTTATGCAAATTATTTCTGTTTTTAGAGGGCCAATGGCAATTGGTCGAAAGCCAAACAACCACCAATCAAAACTTCAATCTATTTAGAGCATTTATTTTAAAAATAACAGTAGCAAACGTCCTTTAACAGTTTCAAATTTCAATATTTTGATGGGTAGCCGCAAACTTTTGAAACCGCAAAAAGCCTCCTTGAAATGGATCCACATTTTTGGTCAACGTATTCTTGTGGAATTTCGCAATAGGCCTGGAAAATTCTTGCAATTAATGATTCTCTGGCTTTTGGACGACCATTTGGATCACAGTTTGTAACATTTTTCATTTGAAGTCAAACTTTTTTAGCGATGTTAAAGATTGGACTTGATTCTGGCTATGCCAAAACTTTAATTTCTTTTGTATGGAAATAAATATTTGTAAAAATGGTTTCCGTTTACTCAGGTAACTTTTTCTTTTGTATTTGTGCAAAACACTCATTATATTTTCTGTGGACGGATTTTGAGCTGCAAAACCTTACGCAGTGTTGGGTTTCATGCCTTTTACTGCCCCTTGGTGCTGTACGTAGTGAAATAAAACCGACAAATTCTTTCCCCTTTAACATCAAATTTATTTTGGTCGCCAACTTCTCGGTTTCTTTACTACTGTAACATTCTCGAGAAATCTTTTTTGATTTACCGCAGCTGTTGTGTAGCTGCATTTAACTTGGTCAACATTTTCTTTAAAATTAAAGGCCACTTCCCCGTAAATGTTTTATAGCGACTCGCCTCTCATTTGACAATTTTGTTTCCTCGGGCATGGGCTACATTTTTACAGATAAAAATGTTTTTGCGTAATTTATACATTTTTAACTAAGTTTTCTATGGCGTCAGCAAGATTTGCAAACTTTTCCCGCCAAAGTTTGCTCTAAAATGCGCCTATTTCACCCAGTTCATGCACCAAAATGTTTATTGTTGTCAAAAAGTTGACAACGTCTGCCGCCATTTTGAGCAAGGTGGTGCAATACTTTTGATACCCTAGTGTATTATGCCCATGCTTATTATTTCATTTCTTTATTCATTGTTATTACTATTATTAGAAAAATTAAGTACCTAGCCATCAACCCACCCTGTGAGTAATACGATATGATATGATATTAAACACAATACCCAATTTATAGGTTTTTTACAAGCCACAATCGAGCGTGCCAAGTGCACGTACGAGATTTTTTTGCACGAATTTTATGTGCACGCCAATTTTCAACGAATTTATCTTTTTCACTGCTTTCAAAACAAAGGAATCAAAGACCTTGCATGCGGTACTGTTTCGTTGAGATAGGCATATAGGCCTAGCCTAGCCCAACCTAGATAAATTTTAGAACATTTCTGGGCTGTCTTTCTGCAAGAATTATAAAGAGAAGATGTAGGTATTCGCAAATTCTGCGAAGTTTAAAACGTCTAAAGCATTGATTAGATCTAAGTATCACGTACACAGCAACACGTAAAGAAAGTTTTGCCGTGAGAAAGAAATTTTTGCCGTGAGAAAGAAAGTTTTGCCGTGAGAAAGTAAGTTTTGCCGTGAGAAAGTAAGTTTTGCCGTGAGAAAGAAAGTTTTGCCGTGAAAAAGAAAGTTTTGCCGTGAAAAAGAAAGTTTTGCCGTGAGAAAGTAAGTTTTGCCGTGGCACCTGTGGGCCACCGTAAAATTTAGATTGCTAACTAACAAGAAGTTATACGGCGGAATTCTACTTGCGAGTTTATGAACATGTCTCACGGCAAATATTCAAGCTCGAGGGCGTCAGCTTTTGACGAAAGTGAAGGAGGATAGCTTTTAGGTGCTGCTGATGGGCTATTTTTGCCTTGCAAGAACGAACCAGTCTTTTTTCTGCGGATAATTCAGACGCGGAACCAGGCGAAGCTGGCATGGCTCGAAGCTTTCATGACCGGGCAGTGGACGAAGATGGAATACAAAAATCCCAACAGCGTGATCGATGGCGAGGAATTATTACTTTGAGTCAATGGTGAGTGAAATAAGTTGTCATTGTGTTTTTTAGTGTTATAAATTCAGTATTCCCTGTACATCTCTGCTGTTTTTAGGCCACCATTCCCTGATCATAGCCCAGTCTGCAGAGTATGACATCTGCACGCCGGAGATATTTTTGTGCAAAACTTGTTGCACGCCGGGTATTTTTGGGTGTGGCCACTAAGACGGGCATGGCTGGGTGTGGTCTCATAGAAAATTGTCAGCGGATATATTTGCCAAAATGTCAGCGTACCACTAGATTTGAAGAAAGCCAACAACAAAATATCTTTCAAAAATAAAATTAAACGCCACCTTTTAGAAAGTCCGACCTAATCGAATATGATGAAATACCAGCACATACTATAGACCAAATTTTCACATTTTTTATCTTTAATGTAGTTTTTTTTCTTTATTCATTTCCTTTGATTTTTTTCTAGTGTCATTTGCATTTCTATTATCACATTCTTTCTGGTATTCAAACCAAAATGAATTGAAAACTCGTCGTCAAATCACGTCAACCTGGCACATGTGTAAAAGCACTTAAAAAGGGGGTTTTACAAACGTGAGTTCGTATGTCGTTCGCAGAAACGTACACGATAAATACTGCAAAAACTGTTATCCAATTCGCTAATTTCTTACACTTCTTCTAATTCATCAGTTCACGTCAAACGACTAAAGAAATCTTAAACGGCTAACGACGACAATGTAACGGCAAACACAATTCTTCAAGCTAGCGACAAGGTACACTGAGTTCGACAAAGCTTACGGCAAGACTGAACCTAACTATAAAGCCACCCCTTATATACCCTAAGAATAATACAATTTACAGAAGCTGATGCAATTGCAGCGCAATGATGCAATTGTCATGTGATGTCCTGCAATGAATGGGAACCCTGTGTTCTAACACATGGCTTTGATAGCTCTATCGTGAGTTTTTTTCATGTGTCAGCTGATTTATAATTGTATATAGGGTTGTTTTTCTTTAATGTTCTTATTGTAATTTTGGATTTAATAATTGAATTTTGAGCAAATTACTTAAATGACGTAACATGTAATTAATTGATTTGCTGAAAAATGCTTTTGAGTTTGAGTTTGATAAAAACAAGTCAAGTAATACTTGACAAATATACAAATAAAAACTTGCGCTATCTTCAACAGTGTACTTCACACACATTTTTACGGTGAAATGCAAATTTACAAATTTTAACCACAACAGGGGATAATAGTCGGTGCACACCAGCACACCAGAAATTTTTGGTGGTGCACACCGGCACGCCAGGCTTTTTGCTCGTGCACACCGGAGATCTCGTCGAAAAGTGCCATTCTCTGCAGACCGGATCATAGCGGCCTGGCCTGTTGCGTTGTATGAGCGAATGAAGAATAAGTTATACAAATACTGTCTAGTTGTTATACTGTAAAAGTTATACTGTCTAGAAATACTAATTCTGTTTGGCACCTTCAATTCTTAGAATTAGTAAATTTAATATTTTATTTTAATTAAATCTGGCAGAAAAGAGTATACCATATACATATAATATATGTATGCAATGTTATGATCATACAATGTTTTTGTTCGATAGGTATCTCTGTGCATTGGCATACAGTCTTGGTGTCTGTCAGAGACAAACGTAGATACTTCAATTCCAGAACTTCTGAGAGATTCAAAACCTTGTTGATGCCAAAGCAACTCCATCTGTGCAGAGCTTCCATTAACGCTGCTTGTCTGTGAAGAACGAGGAACACAAATTTCAATGTTTAAATTTAACAACAAACATGATCCAAGATTAATTTTTTGGTCTTTGACCAAGGCTGACCAGGTCAAAGACCACTATTTCTGTTATACAGAAACGACTGAGTCCGTGATTTAATTGAAAGTTTTTATATCATGTTTTGTTACTTGATGACTTCTGTTTATTGTTAATCGATTCTCACTTGCATTTTGAATCTTTATCCCATAGAATATCATTTCCCTGCTTCTTAAATATTTCTTGAGTTGCCAACCCCCTGCTTTTTTAGTTTCCAAAACCTTTTTCGCTTTTGTATAAAATATTGAAGTAGTTTACATTTGTCTAAATGGTTTAAAAAAATAACTGCAAAATTGAATATTTGGGTAATTTTTATGTATTAAAAACGGTGATAGACAGAGAGACAAGGAGTTCCTTTTTTCCATAAAGCGAGTGCCCCCGGTGTTGTACAGTCATTACCAATAACGTATCTCAGCTGTTACACAATAGAACGTTGTTAGGCAGTTATAAAAAAACAATAGGAAACTTATTACTCACCATGCTTTTTTCATTCTTGCTTCGTTCTTTGTCCTGTTTTGGTTTGCGGACTGAGGGTAGAGCATCACGTCGAAAAAATGTTTTGGTATTTTCGGTGTCAAAACCAGGAGGAGAAGGAAATGTACGGGAAAAATCAGTCGGAAAAAGGTGATCTTGAAAAAGATGATGGCTCGATATCTTTACGCTGCATTTTTAATAAGTAATGCCAAGCGGCGAACTTCTGTTGGGGCAGGTTTTCCAGGATGGCAGTCAAGCACAACGGTATCTTCCTCAAGGGGGTATTCGTTCCATAAAGTCATGCACAACACTTTATTTCAATTTTTATCAATTTTATATTGAACCAAAAAAATTTTCTAAATTACTTTCCGACCTTTGATGGCATTGCTTGAGTTATCTAAATAAAAATTATTACAATTATGGAGGAAAAATATCTTTAGGGGGACAACAGTAGTGCCCGCACATAGTGAAACCATACATAAGCCTTGTTCTATTCAACGGATACACAACCACTTTACGTCACAGGGGTCACGTGGCCACAGGTTCGACCGCGTTTTTCTCGTGACACATTTTAGCTCGAGTGGGTGTTGGAAAACCCCGTTTTTTGGGGAAAGTAAGTCGCAAATGAAAAAACTAAGTTCACCATCGTTACCAGCGATGTTTCTTTGATGATTTAAGCGAATAAAATTTTTCGTGTCATATGCACTTTAACAAAGTACAGTTTGTGAAGAAATAAGTCTCAGATTTTCCATATTATAATAAAATACTAAAAAAATATATAGATTTTTCTCGATAAGAAAATATACATATTGATCACCAAATATTTAATGCAATGACGTTAAAATCAAAACACAATCAAGAGCCACGAAAACTGACATTTGCCACAATGACGAAAATTTCCTTCATCACTAGAACCCAAACTCCTTAGGTATTCAAACAATCCGGAGTGGTGCCATGTTCTGCATGATGTCATATTTTTAGGAGAGCGTTCCTGAATCTAGGCGACCTGTGATTCGTTGATGCAGTCACAAAACTCCTTGACGTGTATGACAGGATGTTAATCAGATTATCCAAACCGGATTCTTCACCTTCGGCCCGGACTAGTTCAGTCTGTGGGTGTTGGATCGTGACAGTAAAGGCAGCCAATTTGTAAGTTATTCTTGCTAACTTCTAAGTTGCCAAGTATTCTTGTTAACTTTGAAATAGTTTGTTTATCTCTTTGCTTTTTTATTTAAGTAATGGATAGTCAGGATAATTTACCAAAACTCCGTTCTATTCTCGGTCACCTTTGACCTCAATGACCTTAGGCCTTTGCCTCAATGTGCAGGGATCAACTCGTCTCGTGAAGATTTAAGTAGTGTAAATGATTTGTTTAGAACCACTTTTGTTTCCTTCTAATGGCCAAGTATTTTTGATGATTTAAAAAAGGAATTGACTCTCCTAACAGGAATTGACTTCTCAAAGACTTTATCGATTATAACATGAATAAAGATCAGGTAGCGTCCTCCCTCAACTGGAAATCAATATAAAGATGGCGGAAACGAAAAATTCAGGGCCTTAGTAATGACATCGACATTTTGCTTGAAACACAAATTTTATCAGTAATGAATACCTTTCTAGAAAAGATTCACCCAATTATGACCCATTGCAATCTGTGAACCTTATCATTAAATATTTGAATTGGCAGTTTGGTGGAAGATATATTATAGAGGAAAATACATTTCTATTGACAAGAGCTTGGTTGGCATGAAAAATAGAGTTTCTGATGGAATCAGACAATACATGCCAAAACATCACCACAGATAGGGGGTGAAATGTTTTGTTCTCTCCAAAGCCTCAATAAGCTATACTTCAGAACTGGCTTGGCCAATCCCAAGATAAGTGTCCAAATCATCAAGCAGGCATCCCTCTTGACGATGCAAAACTTGAAAAACTTCCTCTTGAATCAAGAACTTACAATTTTGTCCTGCATTTGCTTCATGGGGATCCAAGCAAACATTAAGAAAGTCCTTTAATGAAGTTACAGCCTAGGTGCAGTCAACTTCTACACTTCAATCCATTAGCAAAGCTTAGCAAACATTTGCAAGCTTACAAGTAAAGTAAGGTTTATCCCAAAGCAGTTGAAAAAAGGCTAAAACCAGGAGAGGGTAAATTCTGTCTTTCAGGTCCACTACTCGTGTGTCTATTTCGAGAAAAGAAGTCTCACAACGAAAATGTATTTCTTCTCTGCACCAGAACATCTGCTGACTATGTTGCAGTCACAAAATGCAGCAGCAGCGAAGCAGTAATACCCAGAATTGTGGATATCTATAATCACAATAACGAAAGCATTGATCTTGGTGATCAACAAATTTTAATCTTTATGATAAAAAGACTCCCCCCTCCTTCAATTTGTTCAAAATTTGGTTTAACATACTGTGTATCCTCAAATTTCCCCCCTGACCTCAAAAAAGCCTCCCCTTGAATAAACCCCCATCCTAGAACAATAAATTGTCAATAAGCCTCCCTTGAATAAGCCCCATTGCTACCATAAGTCCTCAAATTGGCCCCCCTCAACTTATTGATTGTTGCCATCTGAGGTTGCCTTTGGTGATTGATTGAATTACCTCAAAAATTCATACTTTCGGTAATTATTAATTAAATGTTAATAAAGAAATTCCTATTGAAATATACAAGGTTTTTTTATAATGTCTTCTTGATGTCAATTATAATCTTATTAGCCCCCATTTGTATATGCCCCCCTCAAATAAACCCCCATCCAAAAAAATCGAATATAAATAAGCCCCCAAGGAGCCAATTTGAGGATTTAGGGTAACCCACATAGAAGCAGATTTAATGGTTTCTGTTCAAACATACATGCACATTTGGTGGGTTTCTTGCTGTAATTATAAGAAATTATTCAGCCTGTTTTACTTTTTTGTCCATTTACAAAAAGTTCTTACAAAATGAGTTTCTATATTGATGGGCAGTACTGTATGGTTACAGAATGTGCATTTGCACAACTAAAAGGTTAAATTCCAGTTCTGTAGAAAATGCTGAATACCAATATGATTGATATAGGCCATTTTTAATATCTATCCATTCATGCTTTGTGAAGTAAATTATGAGTTCATTCCCCGAGAAACAAGTCATCAGCAATATCATAGTTTCAACCTCAAAGTCAGGGCTGTCAGCCACATAATGAGCTGAATGAGACTGAGGTAAGGCAGACCAAAGCGTGTTAATAATATTTCGACCCATAAACATTCAAACCAACTCAACCACTCCTTTGTCAAGTATTCTCCATAAGGATTTGTGGAACATTTCACAGCAGTGACATACATTTGCCACTTTATATTGAAGTAAGTCTAAAATGTCATTTTGGAGTAAGACTAGCTGTAGTAGTTCATGACTCAGTAGTTCATGATCTGACACAAACTTAAAAAATACCATCATTGCAAGAACATTTGTAAAACCTTATTCTTGAAAACTTATTTGAAATTTTATTTTAAAGCCCTACAGAATATATAGATTTTTCTGATATTTGAAGCAACATATTTGTTAAAACTACATTAAAATTCCAAGCTAATAAATAAGACAGGGATTAAAGCTTAAAGAACTAAATAGGGGAGATTTCAATGTGAAATGAAAGAAATTTACCTATTACTTAGTGCTGACCCAACAGTTGACAAAACATTGTTTTCTGTGCTACAATACTACTCATCCTACACTAGGTAAAGTCCCCTTACCCCAGCATATTTGGAAGAGTATAAAATCTTCTCTAATCTCCAATTTGGCTTTTCTGCTATTCGTTCTGTTAATCATACATAAAAAGGATCAACTAAGAGTTCTTAGAATGAAAAGAAATTTGGATCTGGAATGTTTTTTGACCTAAAAAAACCTTTTTCACTGTTAATCATTAGATTTTTCTGGAAAAACTAGAACACTATAACAGCTCCAGCACAGTTTAGCTCCAATCTTTCCAACATAAGCCAGATTCAAGGTAATTAACTTTTTTTGATTCTCCAGCTTTCTCTGATTTATCCTGTACAGTATAATCCCGTTATAACGTACTCGGTTATAATGTACTTTTGAATATAATGTACTTTCCGATATAACATACTTTCGGATATACACCTTACTGGTGTACTTGGATCCCGCCAAAGTTCCTTACTTTATATTAAGAAATTACCCTGCTTAGAACGTATTCGTTTATAACATACTTTTAGTTATAGCGTACTTCTTCTTCAACCTTTCTAAACAATTTCCATCAAATACAACATACTTTGTGAGTCTTCTGTGTTAAAAATCCATTGTGTTGTGTCACTTATGGCAAGGTGCCAGGAAAAAGTGAGACCTTTGGGATTTTTTGATATTGTTTTTTGCTTCCTTGATTGATTTAATTTTTGTCCAAGTTTCACAACAATTTTTCGATATTTTCGGATTTCTCTAAAGCTGACAAAACATTGAAAATGTTGAGCAAAGTTGATGCTGCAGTCAACAACACCTGAATACTCAGAAATCATTTTCAAACTTTTTTTCACTATATAGCCTATAATAATTTAGTTAAAAGTGTGGTTTTTAAATAGTTACATTTTTTAAAATTCAGGTCCAATTTTTCCTACCCTGGTTTCAACATACTCCCGATATAACATGCTTAATCTGCCTGTCCCTTAAAGTATGTTATTACGAGGTTATACTGTACCAACAATCTTCTGGTTGAGTTGCCAGGTTACTTTTTTTTCAATTTCCCAGTTGGTACCTTTGGCAGATTGTTGTACAGTAACCTCGAGCAATTCTATTTCATCATCTGACCAGAAAATATCACCTGTCTCTGTTTGCAGTCTCTCTCCCCAGCAATCTTTTGCAAAGATATTAACACACTTCATTTTATGCAGTTCTGTTGATGGCAAAATATTTGGACCACATGTTGCAATGTAATTTACATATCTTACAGCACCACTCCTGAAGCTCCAGTGGTGTAGCTTGACTTCCCGGACTATGGGAATGGATTGTTACTTCCAGGGAAGCCTGGATTTGAAGAAGGCAATGGGGGCAAAGTGCAAAGAAAAAGGACAAAACAACTGTAAATGGAAGGAAAATGCTCAATTGTGCCATTGCCCCCGCTGCCTCCTGGCACAGGTACCTAGGTTATTTCAGATCAAAGAGAAATATCTACCAACAAAGACAGGCGCAGCGAAATTTAGATGCTATTTTGGCAACTAAGGGTTTTTTGGACTTACTGAAGATCGATCAACCAACTTATGAAGGATTTTGAGAGGGGTGTCAGCCCCCTACACTCCCTGCTAGCAATGCCCATTCAAAGCTCAGCAAAATTGTGCTCACCATCGTCTCTAGGCCTACAGCATTCATGGTTAAGGCGAACAATGCAGGATGTGTGACAACATGAAGTTTTCTAATGAATGGCCTCAAAAATGAAAATCTGTGTGAGAATTACAACAAAGAACTATAAAGCTGAACTTGGGCTTTTAAAACCATGCATTCAGATGTGTTTGTCTTTTTAATTTCTTTAAAGTTGTTGCTTTCAAAGTTTTTATAGAAACTCAAACACCCTGCGTAAGAATCCCTTAGAGCTTTTTGACAGGGGATAGCAGGTAAGCAGCAGAGTAGCAAGGGTGTTAGGATTAAGGGGGCAATAACAAGTTGGGTGAGGGAAAATAAGGTTTCACATCTACACCTTTTGGTACATCATAAAACACCCTCTTTCGAATATACTTTTGCCATTTGGGGGGGGGGTGGCATCCAGGGCCTGTTGCCTCTACCGCCCTATGCTCCAAACATTTTGTTGACTGGCAGAAAAACTATCATTTTTGCATCTTGCAATTCTGTTTAACATGCTACACGCTGATGAATGGTAGCATTTTGCAGTGGGTAGCTTTATTCCTAAGGGCCTGTAGTGTCTCCATTAAGCCTCTGGTCCTTATTAAGACCTTGAATAAAACAATCAAAAAATATAGCTGTAAGGGGTAAAGTTTTACTACAATATTGGAAATTTTTCATATCCCCGGATTCTTGATTTTGGCATAAAGTTATTTTCAGGAATTTATAGGCAATATTCGCGGCAATAAATTTCGCTGATTGACCAAAAGCGAAAACTTTGCGGGAATTTACTAAAATATTCCCTATTTCGGCTTTTCGTAGATTGCGTGCCGGTTGCGTTAGAGCCTTTAAAGAAGTCAGCAAAAAAGTTATTGCTTGCCTTACCTGTGGGCATTTTCTTGTATCTTGTAGAAAGATTTGTGGAAACCTCCT